GGCTTTCGCCACCCACCAGTGTTCGCAATCGACGCGAAGACCGTTTGTCAGTTTGTGTTGAATTTGCTTCTACTCTTCATTGTGGCCAAAGTCTTGTGGAATGAGTCTTGTCGGATGAATGAGTTTGGACGACGACTTCGTGTAAATCTGCTGACGTTTTCTAACCTTTGGATATGGGTTGCCAACTGCCTGTGCCGCTATTCCTACATTAGTGCTAATATCACAGTAGGCTTCATCAAGATGAGTATTGATGTAACGTTCGGATGAGGGGTTACCTACCTCCTTCTTAACTACGTACTTAATGTTCTAATCTTCCGATACAGCATAGGGAGACTTTACTGATGCGTTCTCTGCGACTAGGAAGCGGCAGACATATACCAGTCCGTACTAATATGTGATAGAATTTTTGACAGGTACTCGAGAGAGTGGCAGTCCTCCACCGATTCACTTCATTGATGGCCTATGATCTGTCTATGTCCATATTTGGTTTGATGTCGGGGAATGCGATTTGAGATAGTGTTCCTCCTTATGCCTGAATTTGTTGCTGGTCAGGGACAAGTGGCTGTGAGGAGGAAGTTTCGAGTGATGATCACTGTTTTCGGTTTGTTGACAAGAGATTACGTGGATATTTGCTGGATGCCTTTCTGATTGGCTCAGTTTTCCTGCTATTATGACTATACTGGGAAATTTTTTCCATGCGTAGCAAACTTGATAGCCTGTGATAAATTCATCCTAAGCATCATCCGAACAGTAGTCCATGGTCCCGTTGGTGGAAACTGTGAAGAGATACCAGCTAGTTTCCCGATCCTTCTTAGTTTTTATAGATCCATTCAGTCGAACAACACACATGGTTGTTGACTAGCATCCATTTGACGAGTGCGCTGTCGACCGCACAACTTAGTGCTATGTTTAAACCAGTGAGTTCATGAAAGCTGGCCACTGGGTCTCCGGACACTCGTAACGTGAATGTTGGAGATTCACCACAATGACCAGTTGAAATCAATTTAATTACCAAACTCCGTTCATGATGCACGTCTCAAAAACTTAGCATATATCCATTGCTCGAGATTTCAAAGATCTGGTAAGCGTTGTCTGCTGATCGGTTTAGCATTGGATTGGGACGTTAAAAGCTTCGATCGGAAACAGACAACTGGGTCTTAGGAGACTGGAAGTAGTTTTTTGATGGGTTTGATCATTGACAGAGGTAGCATACTGAAAGGTCAAGAGCATTGTAAAGGGCTTAACATTGGTATCAGGAAGTGAAGGTAAAAAGGCAGACAAAAGTATGGATGATAGGTTATGTTTGATTTGTTCTTGTATACCACTGGAAGCACGTGGGCGTTTGATACTTCCTGGTTGTCCACACAGTAAAAGGTTATTTCTTCTCAAGGTGCCTGAAAAAGAAGGGTTATTGAGTGACCGCAGATGCCAAGGGGCATCTTTTAAGGCCGGTCACACACGCCCTTTTTGCAAGTTTGGGATTTTAGTTTGTTACTTTGGAATTCAACCATGAACCCTGGTCAGCGGCACTGGCATGCCATGAGGTAGTGAAGAGTATGCTACTTTAAGAGCCGGCATTTTCTAACCCCTCCCTTCTCATATGGAGGGCAACACCAGCGTAGCACTGCTGGTCATCCAAAGGAAATATCTTGCTGCGGTCACGCTCCTTTCCAGACAACAGTACAACTTCACCCTCAGACCCCCATCATAGCGTAGCAGTTTACGCTATGATGGTAACGGGTTTTGTCTAACCACCATCTAACAGACCTTTCTGGTGGGGTTAGGACCTTGAGGTAACAAGCGTTCTAACAGTATAGCACGGGTTGTTATGATTTGCAAGTCCGATCACCACATCAAAGTGTCAGCTACCGGTTGCAGACAGTTATTCTTCTTAGTATTAAAACGGCTAAATTCTGAGCTAATAATTCTAACCAGAGATATTTCTTAAGGAGAAATTTGGTTCTACGGAGAAGTAGGAGCACATACATAGCCAGGCTATTTAAAGCACAAGAGTACTCAATGCACTGATCAGTGTATTCCATACTTTTTTATTATAACGAATTGGCTTTTGGAAAGCCTATTGCTTGACAGTTACTCAGTTTTATCCTTTTTTCTATTAGGTGAATGATGGAGATGACGAAAACTGAAAACTATAGATCTTTCAAAAATCTGATGATGACTGCAAACTTTATAAAACGTCATGAAGTTATGGATACTTTGCAGTAGTCAGTAAGGCATACACAAATGGTAGTCTGGAAACTGCATTTCCGTAAACTGTACTGGGAATCAATACGAAACCATCCTTGATGAATTGCTTATTTCACAGGATCGTCAGATATAAGTTTGGAATTTTATCACTCTACTTTCCAATCGTGACAGTGAAATCACTGTCTGCAAGTGCATCACGGTTGAAGAAAGAAATGGATCATGAATTAAACAGATACTCAAGACTACTTTCATGACCCACGCATAGTGGATGGGATAAGAGTGTAGAGACTTAACAACCCAGTGCGCATGTGTGCAGCAGCATGAACCACACCTATTTTGTGAAAGCTAGTAGTACTACCCCGCTGCCCAAACCTCGGTAGGTGGAGTGGGGCTCGAACCCGTAACCCATTGGTTGAAAGTCATCTCTCTAAGCCGATGAGTCACAGCTCCTCTTGGATGAGTGATATAACTCTATCGACAGTGCTGTAAGTACTTCATTTATTTAAAAGTATTATTCACATAAAATACATATAATTATGGAAGTTGTTTGTCATTGTTACTAATATAATTATTACTATTATTGATATCATTTTTTTTCATCATTACTATGACCGTAAAGTTTGTTTAATTATTTCCGTTTACTCACAGCATTCCCTATTTTTCAAGGTAAGCGAAGTGAATATCACACTGCTTCCTTATGTTACACGAAATTGTACATTGTGTTGAAGTATAATTCGATTGATTTGACTTTTCTTCCATTTCAGAATCGGTTACTCCCTAATCGCCTTTCAAGTACTCAAGTATCCTTCAATGCATTTCATCTTGTGGATGTTAATTTATGGACCTTAAGAACATAATGTAGATTTTCAGCTAGTTATTATTCAATATATATATATATATATATATATATATATATATATATATATATATATATATATTCTGTGCATAAGACTTAAACATTTCATTTGCGGCAAGTATGACGTATACTAGAGTGCTCATTGTGAGTCATACATTTAGCGTCATTCGGATCCGAAAAGTTAATATTTAAAGAGGACTTTAAATAGTAGGAGTGTACGGAAGTGGATTGTGGAAGGATGCATAATTTCGAGGGGAAATGGAGACTAGTTGTCACATTTCCTCAGAGGCCTTACATTACTTTCCCTTATTTTCCTCCTACTTGGTAGTTACCCTATATGTTGAAATACATTCCTGTACCTATATTTCTTTGCGAATTGGTGTAAAACAACAACTGGCAGCTGAAATGTACGTTTTGTGTACTGTACTTAGATGGATTCTATACACTCAGAACATTATACTAGTAGGTGCCACACTTCATTAACGGAATGTTTCTAAAGTATAAGACTTATTGACTGTACTTCATGAAATGAAAACCACAAATTCATACATTGACATTTATGTAGGAATGGTGTGTAAAAATCAAATGTGTAGAAAAATGATATTCCATCATCTCTGTGATGCGTTTAGTCATGGTCACGCAAGACAGCAGCTAAAGATTGTTCAGCCTTGTCTTGGTTACTCTTATCTCTTAAACTTCCTTAGATGCACACCCTAGCTTCATAACATGACGTCAAGAAATCCCTCGCTTCTTGTTCACTGGACGCTCTACCTGTTTGAAAAAAGGTTGTGAAATAAGTTGGGGAGATCATCAAGTTCACCTGCAGAGGTCCTGTAGTCCTCTACTGCTTTGAGGACCAGGTCTAGAGTATAACTTCTGGACCACACCATACTGTGTCTAGATGTGTGTAACGAAGTAGTATCTCTACCTGTAATCAGTAATTGTTTGTTATCTATGTACAAAAGATGGTTGCAAGGTGGGATTTGGTCATTAAGTCATATTGCATATGGCACACTGCTCTCAAAGTATCCCCAACATACACCATCCTGCTAACAAAACAACGTATGCGTTCACTGCTTAAGGCTTCATGCCTTAATTCATGGACTTAGTGATAATTTCGTGCAACTATTTCCAATGCAAACTTAGTCAAACGATTTAAATCCGTTTGGGGAGTCAGAGGAATCTAAAAAAGGAAAGCGACTGGTTGGATCTTCATTGACTTATTTGGAATCGCGTATGATGCTGAAGACTTTCAGGGCGTCAAATGTAAATCCTCGCACACAAATGCACCGACTCAAGTTGCCACACTTCATAACAGAACACAAAGAACAGTTGAATAAAAAAGGAGTAATATCAAAGTAAATAAAATTGTGTGAGACAATAAACAATCTGAAGATAACAGTTAGTGCAAATATTCAAACCTTAAAAGTTGTCGATGTGTGAATAAGTCTGTAACATTGTGGTCGATTTTCATCGATGTCGTCAAGAGTCCTCAACCACTGGTTCCTGTCGCTTCTGAGACCTCAGCCAGGTAGTCGACACCTTTCTACACGTCTCAGGTCAACAGTTAAATGCTTCCTGCACTGATAGCATGTCTTAGTCTGGTCACCCTGAGCCTTCTCTCAACCCAGTCCAACTTCTTTTAGCGTTACACGTCGAGGTAGGCGGTGGCTTGGTATGTGCAATGCGTGTAGAAGCCACATCAGTTGTTGAAGGTTCACAACCTCATCAGTCGTCCTGCCTGTCTTTCCTAGTACCCTCCGTCTGACCTAAACATTGCTGACACAGGGATCCATCAAACGCGAGCAATACCACGAAGATATGTATGATCGAAACCCTGAAATGGTTTCATGTCTTCTACTTTTAACACCCATGTCCCACATCCCTATAACAAGGCGGAATGAGATAAATTTGCATTAAATAAAAAGTAAAAACTTTCAGAAATGAGTCATGATGTAATTTTAAAATGAAAATAAAAACTGAATACATTTTTTGCTTCATCTTGTATTCATACATTGACTGAACTCTAAAATGTTTTGTTTGTTTCTGCATTCTGTCTGTTTCTCTACAGGGGTTAAGTAGAAGAAAAAACAAGTGGAGAGTGGCTGCATTTTTATGTTAGTTAGTTTGCTCACAATCAGAAAAAAAAGCCCAACCACTATCTAGTTTCTTGTTGTCCTTGTTTCCTCTCTCTTTCTCTCCTTCTTTCGTGCTTTTTTGGCCTATAACTTCAGCTTATATCCTTGTTGTGCAACAAGTCTCGTAGTTGTGGTGAACCAGATGCATCAGTGGTCGTTGTTGCAGCTGCACCTACTGAACGTGTTTTTGGCATTCTTGAACGTAACGCAACTGGTGTCTGTCTCTTCTCTATGCGTACCATTTCATCATTAACAAGACGTTGAAAGTCAGGCCATAGTTTATCGTTTAACAATCGACGCCATTTATTAAATAAGGAATTAAGATAATCAATTTTCCGACTTGGATCACTTCTGTTTTGTTTTGAGACAAATAAACAGATAAAAGAATGAATAATAGATTTTGAGGTGAATGGGGATTTTTTAATTTTGGGGTAGTATTCATCACGAACTGACATCGGTTAGAGAACGATTGAAAACCTGAGAGCACTGGACATCTGTTTCATCCCAGTATGGGACTCCTCAGCATTACCGTGTAGTGTCATTAGTGAGATGCTTTTCGATGGACATCACGAAGTTCTAGTGCGAAGCAGTGACTTGTGGGGTCGATCAGTCGGAAGGGAAGCGGATGCTAACTGAAGACCTTGAGTGATAGTCGCTCTATATCACGAATTGACAGTATTTGGTAACTGTGAACCATTGAACTCTGACCCTGTGGCTGAGTGGTTACCACGTTCGTCGTTGAATCCGAAGGTCCGGAGTTTGATCACTACCCGGGTCGTGGGTGCGTACTGCTGAGGAGTCCTATACTAGGACTAAACAGCTGTCCAGTGCTCTTAGGTTTTTAATGGTTCTCCCCCTGTCAGTCTGTGATGAATGCTACCTCTAAACAATAAATTACCTAAAATACTTATCCATGTTAACGGAATCAATGATAAAAAACTTAGAATATCCTAGGAAAGGCTGACACCGGTAAATAATTCTCAAAAATCAATAGCCTCGAATTCGACGAGACTCAACACTGATGCTGACCTTCATAGTCTTAGAGGACTTGCTAAGCTGAAAGCAAACAGTCTAGCATCCACGTCATTTGTCATGCTGTCGTGCCACGTTGCCCTGCTCGTATGCGATCGTCAAGCCAGTTAGTTGGAACCCATCGATATTATATGGCACAGTCGATCAAATATACTATTCCACTTGACTGCTCCATTGTGTTTTTCCTTGGTCTCTCACCCGTGCGTATATACAGCAAGTACGAATAATCAATGATTGGCATTTACGTCTGTCAAGTTGACGTAAGATCAATTTGTAAAGGTTAACAACGGTTCTACGCTTGATAACTAACGGATGGAATACTATTCATATAAATTGTAAGAAGCATTTACCACCTCAAACGAATGAAGTATTCAAATAGATGAATGAGTTGTCATATACTCTTTTTTCCTTGGGAAACTACTAGCTTAGATACAAGGTAACATAATCCGTAGGTGCTTAAAACAAACTAGAGTAAAAAACCTTTTCACAAAGTTATCTGTTCTCATGTTGATTCTAAAAGTGTTCCAGAAACAAGAGTGAAAGTTAAATGATTAACAGATACATGAAATTCGTAAACACAGAAAATTAATGTCATGTTATACAGGTAGAGCAGAACATCATTAAGGGTTGTTTGTAAGCTAGGGAAGTAAGACAAATCAAAACCAAACATTGACAACAAACTCTTAAGGTGAATTAGGTGGGAAAGAGTATGAACTAATAGAGTGCTACGGCACAAAAATGTCTGCCAACGCAGGTTCACAGTCCTACTAGTACGTTTACTCGATTCATACTGGGTGAAGGTTAGAGATGGAATGAAAACTTGGATAGGTGCCGGATTTCAGTAGAGAACTCTAGATTACTAGCGTGGAGCTGAAAAATTGAGCTACAATGTCTAGTTGCTGACCAAATCTTAACTCCACCGCAACCACTGAGGGTCTTGCTTGGCCACCGTGTGGAACCATGATATGTAACTGTCTGTTAGTCACAATCACACAGTTAAGCGTCATAAATTCATATGGTAACCTGGTAAAATCATCATTGATTGAAATGGAGTTAAACTTTGATGAGCAGATGGGTGTAGCTCAGTCTATGTAGTGACACACTAGAAACATTGTGGTCACTAGTTGAAATTCTGCAGTGATCCAAGTTTACATTTTATGCTCGAACACCAGTCAGTATCAATAACACCAGTCTGCCAAAACACGGCTATATCAGATAGTCTCTTTACGAATTCACTTCACTTGCCCCATTTAAAACTAGTAGCAACATCTGTTGGGCACTAACACCCACAAGCAATACTGAAGAATAACTTTGCATTTAAATATCTTTCAGTTTTTAGTTATTTTTCTATTCAACAACTGTTTCTCAGTCATTTGTGGAAAAAAAGCAGATGTGTTCTATATGTATGCCTTTTCAAAAGCAGTTTTATGAGCTTTGATTGGTCACTGGAGGGTAACCAACTCCATGTTCTCTAGTCCCAAGTACTAATTGAATTCTATCGACCATTTTTCAATATGGACTCGATCCAATTAACGTCAATGCCAGTACATCTCAGTGGTGAGTCTCCTAGCTGGGTTGCAACATTACAAAATGGTCGATCGAATTCGATTAGCAGTTTAAACTGGGCAACAGGACGTTACTCACCCTCCAGTGACCAGTCAGTGTACACAACCCGGGTATACAGAAGATCAACCGCGGCTGGGATAGGTCAGTGCTAACGTCTATGACTGTAGTACTAGGTGATGCGGGCTTGAATTTCAGTTTCTTTGAGGTTGTAGATACTCCTTGTTGACAGGTGCCACAGTGGACTAAATCTAATTCCAAGTCTTTCTGCGGACTGCTGTCATTCAGTTAACAGTTTTTATGAACAACCCACTCATTTGGGTTCCAGTCCTTGATTGATGACTTAATTGTTCGACACACTTGCTATTTATTGTTCATTATATGGCATCTTTTCATGCAAGTCGGTATCTTTGTTTTAATGAATAATTGACAAAGTTTTTTATTTCTTTATCTATTCAATTGAAGATTTAAAGTGTGATACTGTGAGAACTTGCTCACTCCACAACCTCATTCAAGTATTGCTTCAGTAAGGATTCATCTTAGCACTGTACAAAGACTGTAATTTGAAACACTGTTAATGTATCCATGTGAGAAAAGTGATGCAGGGAATTGGGTTACCTCTAAAAAATTCATGCATTACTTCTGACCGTTGCGTTGAGCACCAAATTAGGTTTTCTTTGCCTCTAATCAAGACATTATCTTTATTTAATTCAAAATGCTTATTTAAAACTACTCACTGAAACAAACCAATTAATATCATCGAATACTTCATTACTCAAGTCCGATTGGGTAGTAGTGCGGATCGGTTGTTTAACATCAATATACGTTTATCAGATAGATAAAGCACTTCACAATTCTTCAGATAGTCACTTGGTATTAATTTTTCTATACATCTTTGCTTCAATAGCGATGTGAGTAAACAGAGAATATTTTCTTCGATAACTTCTCCATTAGATCTTACAGTGATGTGTGCATATTATGTAATTTTGTGTCAACAATAGTGAGATTTCCTTCAACAGTTTCCCAATATAACTTGATATGAGTAAAGACAATAAATTGTGTTCGAAACGTAATCCAGTAAATAATACTCTTTCATTGTGCAATACATCTTATTATTATTATCATTATTTTTCCCTTGGGTTCCTGATGGAACATAGGGCTTTGATAGCACGTCTCCATTCCACTCTCTTCTCTCCAGTCTTTTGAAGCTGGCTCCACGACAGCCCACAAGCTTTCATTTCTTCCTCACATGATCTCCTTCATGTCACCCCCACCTCGGACGTCCAACTCTTCGTTTCCCCTTGGATTCCACTCGATGGCCTGGCCTAATGCATGATGTCCCCAATCTTTCTTCTCAGTGTGTGCCCTATCCAGTCCACCTCTACTTTCTTCTGTATATTTATTGGGCGATAGGCTCTTGGTTGGTTCCTTGCCAGGTCAGAATTACTTGTTGCTTATTCTCATTATTCTGGCCATCTGAGCTTGAGTAACGAGCCAGCGTAGGTAGTTGCTGATGAATGTCTGTAGTTTGTTGGAAATCCCTTTCGTAACGCGCCAAGTTTCTGAACCATATAGAAGCACTGACTTGACATTAGTGTTGAAAATCTGGATGTTGTTCACGCTTCATGCTGAGTGCAGAAGATCTCCACACTGATTTTAAATTAGTGAAAGCCTGTCTCGCTCTCTTTCGATCCTGGTTTTGACATCGTTGTCTGCGCCACCTGTAGTTGAAATGATGCTGCCTGGTCAGGTAGGTGAAGGAGACTACTTCCTTTGGGTTTCTTCCGTTGATGGTGATTGGAGCTTGTTGTTGTTGGTGGTGGTGTTGGTTGGTTACCTTCATCACCTCTGTCTTCTCTACGTTCACTTGAAGTCCCGTCTTCGCTGTCCTGCCTCTTCTGTCAACTTGTTGGTTTCGACCTGTAGATCTTCAAGCTTATGTGACAAGACACTAGACATAAATCATCATTGGCGAAATCCAAATCTTCTCCTGGGGTCTTTTCATTGGTTCAGCCAGCGTATGCCTATCTTCTCTCTCCTCACGGTTTGCTGCGTGATCCAGTCGGCCACAATCAGGAAGATCATGGGTGATAGTAGGCAGAAGCCTTGTCTTACTCCTGTCCTTGCGTGAACTTGATAGACGCAAAGACGAATCACTAATTATTCGGACTCGCTATATACATACAAATACAAGACCAAGAAAGAACACAATAGGGTAGTCAGATTGAATAGTATATTTGGATGGTTGTGCCAAGATACCGATGCGTTCCAACTGACTGGCTAGAGAGTCGAATACGAGCAGTGTAAGGTAACACAACAGCATCTTAAATGGCCAGGATGCTTGACCATATGGCTTCAGCTTATCAAGTCTAGTTTAACTATTAAGGCCGGTATTAAAGTTGAATCTCGTCGAACTCTAGGCTGTTGTTTCTGGAGAAGTATGTGATGTTACAGAAATATCTAGTAATCCCATTGTATTGAAACAGGTGAAAGACGTACAATTTCTTACTTTGAAAATCTGTGAAGTAGACAGGCAAACAATGAAATTCTGAGTCTACCAAAAATTAATGAAAAAGTTTTGCTCATCTTTAGCAGCATTCAACAAATTTGTCAGTAACTTTCAAGATGATCAATTAGATGTTATTGCAATCGTATTGTTGTTACGACTGAAAATCAAACCATGTCTTAAAATGACACTTTGTTTATACGATGGTTTTCAAAACCGTAATCAAATATTAATCCATACTGATGAAATGGTGATGGTCATGTACTTACTTTGATCCAACAACACGTGTAGCATGTGTAACTTGTATGTAATAAAGATCACGATATGTATTCAGTGAAATACAATGTTCTTGTAATAAGCTGTATACAAAAATAATATTAGAAAATTAATGAGAAAATATATCAGAACATTTTGAAGATGATGTATTCAACAGTTAGAGACAGAGATATAACTTCTTTTCAAATCCCAAACAAATTTATTTCATTTTCCTTAGCTTCTTTTTATATGTTTACCTTGACATATTCCCATTTTTATTTTTCTATTTCTATGGAAAGACGGATCAAGGGACTATCGAAATAGTGCCAGCAATTACTTTAAACTGTTCAACGCCTTGATATCTCACACTAGCACTTGATGGTAGAAGGCAACAATATGAAGGAGGTCGTAGAACATGGAATATACAGAAGATGAGCTGATGTAAATATTGAAATGTAGATTTAACAATTAGAAAGACTGATGAGGTTGTAGTGCACCTTCCTGGTACCAAAATATAACTAGGACTAAAATAAATAGATTAAATGAAATCAACTAAATAAATCTCTAGCTTGCCTCCGGATGCTTAGGGTGTTTTAAGTTTTGTTTTAACGAGCATGCATCCGAGCAGGCTTGGACGCCATTTTGCGCTCCATTGTGCTGGTTACCACGCACGTACTCCGAGTCCCTAGTTCAGCCTTACAAGCCAGATAAGTTGATTAAATTTGTCCCCCATTCATTATTATTACATTTACTTTAATTAAATACATAGCTCCTTCAAATACATTGCGTATCAGTTCTTTTGATTTGTGTTTTGTTATCAGTACTTACACGTTAGGTAAAGTACTGGTTAAGTAGGTACTAGAGCACATCAAGTTAAGTAGGGTTGATCAAACGTTACGGAATTGTAACACACACCCCTACAAGGTGGCAATATGTCTACACCATCTGATCAATTCTGAGACTTATCAACTAGATTGTTCAACTATATATTCCTGCTTTATGCATATCTTTAAAAAGGACTGAAACTTTAATTGTTGATATTTCATTATGGCTTTAAACTTTTCTGCATCTACTCACTTCATTTAAAGGCTTATACAAACTGTATGGCTATAATCATTGTCCCTTAATTTCACAGCTGTAAATTATCGTTTGAAGGAACAAAGAAAATTCTCTTCGATAACTTCTTTTTCATGTTCTATGCTGACGGATTATACGTCAACAATAATGAGATTTCGCCTATCAATTTGTGAATAATATCATGCGATTCAGAAAGTCAATGCAGAAAAGTCTTATGTGAACGTTAATGATGGAACTAATCATTACTGGGATCCTATTCAAAATAACTGAATACTGTATGGTGGTAGTTTAATAAAACAATAGGAAGGTGTTTACAAGAGTTAAAGAAATAAACTAAGAAAAATAACTTGAGGGGGAGTCAGAAGGTGAAATAACTATTCTTGATGTTCTTCGCTCGACAAACAGATGGGTAGATAAACAGGAATTTGTTTAGGAAAAGTACTTGAATAGGGAAGTAAACACATTTTCTTAGCTTTGTATTCCTTCAGCACAAACGAAATTTAGTAAAAACTCCATGTTACAGAAAAAAGACCATATGTTCAGAAGATCAAGTTGAGGAGCAACTGACGACTTTGCGTAACACACCAATCAAAATCAGCTGTGCTTACAAAAATGTCAACAAAAGATGTTCCAGCGGCTAGCAAAAAACTCCTTTACATTCGGGTACAACTTGGAGGTGATCTGTCAATATCTCTCCGTGAGTGATTTAGTAGCTTGCTCTGACGATATGGTCTGTGACTGGTTGTTTCCTTTGATTGTTGTGTCATTGACTGTAAAGATTTTCCTGTTGGTTGTTTCACTGTTTGACCTCGCACCTTTCTGTCGTTTATTATTTTGTCATTGGTTGATAGATTGGGCCTATGTCTATACATCCGTTGATTGCTGACTGACCTGAACGCCAAGCTTCTAGGAATTCTCTGATATTTTTTGTTTTCTCTATCCAAAAAAATATGAGAGAATTCCTAGAAGCTTGGCATTCATGTCAGTCAACAACCAGTGGATGTATTGGAATAGATCCAATCTATCATCCAATGACAAAAATAATAAACGACAGAAAGGTGTGAGGTCAAACAGAGCAACAACCAACAGGAAAATCTACACAGTCAATGACACTACAGTCAAAAGAAACAATCACGAACCAGTTCGTCAGGGTAAGCTACTAAATCACTCACGGAGAGATATTGACAGATCACTTCATACTGAAGTTAGTGCTGATGATGTCGTGTAGAAAGACGATGAAAGCTTCATGATTAAACAAGCCGGCTTAGAGAACACAATGCAACCAAAACCATCCACCTGAGCTACAAATATTCTCCAGTATTATGAACAATTTTAATAGTTTTACTGAAGCATTCGGTGATAAAAACTGACCGTACAGTATTCTGCTTCATTTTGGTTGACAAAACCTACATTTGAACAATAATTATTGTGTTATGTTTGCTATAGCCAGTCGAATGCTTTTCTGAACAATGATAAATGAGCAATAACTTCTAATTTGGCTTTAAAAATGCCATTATTATTGTTATACCATGAAATTGTAATGTAAGTTTCGATAACGATTTGTCTCTTCATTCATTTCACATATAAGAGTCAGAAAGTTGAGAAAAAGCAATTTTACCGTAGTAGTTAACGAAATGTACTTGAAACAGAATTTCTAATTCATACGACACATAAAGTCAGCGTAGAATCACGCACACAAGGATATTGCTTCATGTTGCCATAATTCACAGTGAAGTTCAAAGAACAAATGGATACGAAATACTGATATCAAAGTAGACAAAGGTGTATTAGGAATGAAAGGAGGGAATTCAAAAATTAAAGTTAACCTCGCCTGGTTAACTGGTTCACTAGATACTAGCCGGTCCTAGGCTCGGAAAAAGATAATCCATTCGCTGAAGAAACTTCAAAGCACAAAGAAAATATTGAAAATAAAAACAAAATTATTCCTCGCTGGAATCGGAGAGACGAAATGACGCCGGTTGGTGGAAGCCAGTCGACCGATGCGTCTTCTCTCCTCGATGTAAGCGAAACTAAGGATGGGGACATGGAATGTCCACACCATGTATGAACCTACCAAGGCTGCTGAGATTGCAAAAGAGATGTGGAGGTATGGCATGGAAGTGCCTGGAATCTGTTAAAGCAGGTGGAATGGGAGTGGACTCTCCAAACTGTCAACTGGAGAGTCAATAATCTACTCCGATATTGTCACCAGATGACAGCCACTAGCACACTGAGTTATGGCGTGGCTACCATGGTTTCTCCAGGAACGTCGAAGGCTGTCTGTCATGCAGTGGGAACCAATCTCCTCCTGCAGGTTCATGAAGACAAGATTCAACTCAAAATGAAGGAAATTCACAACATACATTGTTATGCTACTTGCCCACAAATAATGCAGATAAAGAGAAGGAGAAATTCTACAGACAGCCACAATCAGTACTGGACAAGACTCCAGCCTAGATGGCGACATCAAAATTCTAATGGGAGACATGAATGCCAAAAGGTGAGTAGACAACACAGAGGAGAACTCATTATGGTTCGAGAGTTACTCAGTGAAATGATAAATGAGAACGGAGAACCGTTTGCAGATTTCTGCGCATCCAACGATTTGGTGATTCCAGGAACTCTGTACAAACACAAGGATATTCACAAGGTAGCGGCATGGACTTCACCAGATGGACACACTAAAAATCAGATCGACTACATCTCAGTGTGAAGAAAGTGGAGACGCAGCCTACTTGACACAAGATCAAGAAGAGGAGCAGGTGTAGGATCACACCACTTTCTAGTGCAAGGAACCTTCCAAATCAAGTTAAAAGCCTTCAAGGAAGTTGGTGATAGACCACAGTTCAAGTTCAACACCCACAACAGAAACTGAAGGACGAAGCTCCAAAGGACATCTTGACGTCAGCCATCAGATCAAAATGCGAGATGTTGAGCAACATCCCTGAAGAAACCTGTGTGGAAGAACACTGGAAGTCTTTGAAAGGGATGTGGAAGGAAACCTACATAACCGTATTAGGAAGGAAGAGGAAGCAAGACAAGGATCTCGACGGTCACATGGAAGCTGATAGAGGAGAGAGAGGAAGATGGTGAAGCAGAAGATGAACCAGAGCAAGGATGCGCAACGAAAAGACGAAATGAGTACGACGTATAGTATACCGCACCATCCTAAAGAGACTAGAGGAAGCTCTGGATTCAAAACTTCGACCGGAACAGGCTGGCTGGCTTCAGGAAGGACAAGTCATGTGCGGATCAAATTGCAACGCTGAGCTACGCATCATCATAGAACGTCGAATAGAATGGCAGTCAACTCAACCTCTACCTCATCGACTTTGAAAAGGCGTCAACCGAGAAGTAATTTGGCAGTTACTTCAACACTACGGAGTGCAACAAACCTTTGTCAATGTCATTCAACAGCTATATGACGACGCCGCATGCCAAGTGATCCTTAATGAAAAGCTTAGTGACGCCTTTGAAGTGAGGATAGTTAGTAGTAAGACAAGACTGCCTACTATCATCCATGATATTCCTGATTGTGGTGGATTGAATCATGCAGCAAACCATGAGGAGCGAAAAGATGGGCATATACTGGGTGAACCGATGAAAAGATCCCAGAAGAAGATTCGGATTTCGCCGCCGTTTATGATTTATGTCTAATGTCTTGTTACACAAACTCGAAGATTTGCGGGCGAAAACTGACAAGTTGACAGAAGAGGCAAGACGGGACTTCAAGTGAATGTAGAGAAGACAGAGGTGATGAAGATACCCAACCAGCAACAGCATCAACAACAAACACCAGTCACTTTCATTAATCTGAAAACAGTGTGAAGATCTACCACACTCAGCATAAAGCATGAACAACATCCAGATTTTCAACACCAACTCAGTCAAGTCAGTCCTTCCATATGATTGAGAGACTTGGCGCGTCACGAAAAGCATTTCCAACAAACTACAGACATTCATCAACAACTGCCTACGCTGGCTCGTTACTGAAGATCAAATCACAAGGCCAGAATAATGGGAATGAGCAACAAGTAACTCTGACTGGCTGTCTGGCAATGAACCAACCAACAACCAGCCTATCATCCAACAAATATGCACTGAAGGAAGTGTAGATGGAGTTGATTGGATTGGGCATACACTGAGAAGGCCGACTGGGGATATCACGCGTCAGGCACTCGAGTGGAATCTGAGGGTGAAACGACGAGTTGGGCGTGTGAGGCGGGGGTGACATTGAGGAGATGGTGTGAGGAAGAAATGAGAGCTTGTGTTGAGTGGTGGAGCCAAGTTCAAAAGACTGGAGAGAAGAGAGTGGGATGGAGACGTGCTACTGAAGCCCTATGTTCCACTAGGAACTCAAGGGACAAATAATAATAAAGAAATGGATGTTAAAGATTATGCATAGAAATATAATCACATGAAACGTCAGTTGTCTTGGCCAAAGGGATATTGGTGAATGATGAGTTAGCGTCAAATGAACACAAGTATGCTTTTCATGTTGATATCCTCAAGCATTTTATTACTTCAAATGTATCTTTTAAGAATACCTACAGAATTTCTTCTTAATTGGTTCCAGTAATTCCACTGGCCATTGGGAAAGCTTATACGTTGGTGACTTGCCCATTGACACTATGGGACGTTATGTGTTGTTGATTTGTGTAGTTTAGGTAAAGATATGAGAATTGGGATTCAGTTGGTTTCAGTAAATCGAATCTTTGTCTAGTAATAACGTTCATATCTGGCATTTTCACTAGATTACCAGTCACAGTTCCCTGTAACAATTGTACGTCTTCTAAGGACAACCTTTAGTGAACTTACTTTCATCTTCAAGAATCGACGACGTTTTACACTTATATTCTATTTTATTCATGATCACGACACCTGAACCTTTGTCAGGTCTGAGGATAATAATATCGGGATTGTCTCGTAGTTCTTTCATAGCTCTGAAATACTCAGAAGTTAGAATGCTTTTCTGCTTATCTTTATTCAAGTTATAATTGGTTTCTGGTTCACAAGGTCTTGTAACTAAAGTAATCACAAGGCTAGATATTGATATTACTACTCAAAATTTGTGATATTAATACAGAAAAAAAATCATAAACTAAAGCTGCTTACTCATAACGATTTTGTATACTTTCTAGTTCCTCTCTTAGTTTAGTTGTTTCTTCAACTTTTTCAAGTAAATTATTCTTTACATCGTCATATTTTGTTAGTGGTACTTGTGATTCATATTGAGTTTCATATTCTATTAGACGTGCTTGTAAACCACTGATAGTTTTATACGCTTGACTAGGAAATAAAACATAACAAAGTACGCAATTATTGAGACTAATTTAGAGTACATAGATACAACTTCATAATAACTAAATAAAAATTATCATAGATAGTTTTATCAACACTTAGAACTTTGCTGTCTCAGTCTAATCTAGTTGGAGGGAACTTGGTCAAGGGATAACTTCACCGATCAGCTGACATCAAAACAGAAACAGTCAATAAAATATCATTCGACGACATAGAAACGAGGCAAAACCTGTCTGGGTTTCATAGCTTCACCAGCAGTAGTAGTAGTAGTACTAGTAGTGGTCGATGATCACCCTTACTGCTTTTTTAAATCGTGTCGTGATGCAGTCTCTATTTCACCTTTGACCATCATTTGATTATGTATATTTATACTGATATTATCAACTTAGGTTATCGGAGATATCCGTAGCAATGTTAAACTACACAAAATAAGAATAGGATTTTGAAAATTATTCCTTTTTTTGAAAACTTTACTGCAAGGCATGGAATACAAATTATAACTGATCAGTACTAATTGTAGTCTACCAGTTGATTCGTAGACGCCTGTTTTGTCATATTTGGGACTCGTCGACTGGATGTACCTGCACCGCAGTGAGAAATGTTTTTCCCACCGTGACTCTAACCCAATACTCATATCTTCAAACTCTGAAGCTTTACCCATTAGACCACCGGGGCTTGATAGCCACCACTAGTGCAAGGGTATGAGTTATTGCTTACTTATACTTGTAATATCCCGTTGCTTTACCGAGTCGAATTACTCGACCTCAGTTGGCAGATGGGCTTCTACGAGGATGCCTCGATATTTATTATATTTTAGTCTGTTTGATGGATAGAAGTGGAATCTAAGACAAGCTTATCGTCCTACTTGGGACTCCTCAGTACTCATGTTACATCTGTCAGCAGGAGAATTAGTCAGCTGCTTTCAGGATTCAACCCAAGGCTTTGTGGTATCGATAGCCTCTTACTTATACTCTTGATTGCATTCCTGACATATTTTTATCCTTTTAACTATACTCCTAAGCCATTATTTTCCACTTCTGCTATGTATCCTAATATGATAAGAAACATAAAAGAGCTTCAAAAGAGTAAACAATTTCACCTAAACGATTACAGAACAACACAAGTTGAGGAAAAAGAAGAACACTTGTTTACATTTAACTCCTCGTCGTTAGCTGTACGTCAATATGTGGGTCTCATATATCGGTCGAATGTATAAAACAAGTTCTCATGTAAAGAAAGTTTAGATATGAAGGTAGATTGGAGATTTTTGAAAAGATATTAAAAAGTATGATCAGTGATCACAGAAATTAGAAATTAGCAGTTAATAAAATAGGGTAATCATACATTATAAAACTATGGAAAAACAAGGATACATAGTTACTCAGCTGACAGTTTACATAGTGAGAAAGTTAGGTGATCAGTTACTGACATAAGAATAATAACCGGTATAGGAGAATAAATTTGTAATATAGACCAGGGAAAGGGTTATTTTTACACACCTTATGAATTATATAGGTGACGAGGGTAAAGACAAAGGCTGTGCAAACTTGTTTTTTGTACAAAAGTTTAGTTTCTTCAAGTAAATTCTAATAGCAGCTGTAGCTGCAAGTAAAAGGTACTCTTACAGTAGGAATAAGATTAGAAGCGATACTTTATATAATTTTAAATGACTCATTCACATTCATTTGATGCTTGTTGCAGACTACATGCTAAAGTACAAGACACACTGGTCTTACGCGTAGTAAATTCAAGTGGATGATGTTCAGAAATGACAATATGAACATGCCTGATACTAAATCCAATAGTAGCCAGCACCATACGTCTAATTAAAATACCAAGTGGACAACGAGGAAGTGAATTTGAGTAGTTTGTCCTTACGTCTCGGGTTTAGTATTAGATTGTTGAAGCATAGAGAGCATATATTTGCTGCATACAATGCCCATTACAAAGCACTTCTCACTTAGCATATAAAAATCTCACTAGTTATGTCACCACAGAAATGGCAGTTATGGAAGTACTGACATTGGATTTCATATTTATTTGAAGTTAGTCACCAGTAGAAAACTGTCATTTGAACTATTGATTTATATGAGTTGTATTTGGACAATGGAAGAACAATAATTGGAATAGAACAGCATGGTATCATTTTATTTCTCCAGTTTCTCATCAGCTGCACACAACATCGAACACGTTTAATTATCATATCACAAAAAAAAAAATCAACATACTTCTTGTAATTAAAGGAAATTGGTTAAGGGTCAACAACATAATCTACTAAAAGATACAAACATTTGAAAAATGTTAACGAGAAATGCTGAGAAGTTTCAGTTATATATATGATTCAACAGGAAGGGAATAATAATAATGAAGGATTGTCCAAGAAGATTGAGCAAATTATCCAATAATATACTGAGATGGACTTATTTGGTGCAAACAAGATTATAAAAATTGTATACAAACTAAAAAAATGTTTGCTTAGTAGATTATATTATCAAACTGATCACTGCTTCTTTTCTACTCATTTCTGGTTTCACTCACTTAATTGTTACAGCCTTAACAAACTTCAGAAGATTTGAATTAGTCTGCTGATTGATTGCCTTGATCAGTCTACTCTATGTCCTGTGGCGGCAAGTTGCTGAGTGGTTGGACTACTGAAAGTACTTGTCCCCCTGAGACGGGGACGTTTTGGTACATGTTCTAAAAATCTGCAGTATACCCTTCTCTCAATTCTTTCGATGTAACTGCCACTGCTACTGTAGATGCATGTAAACTTGTACACATAATAAGAGGTAACATGGAAAGGGGACTGGTCTACTTTGATTGCATCAACAAGAATTATGTTCTGTAAAGAGAGAACAACTTGACTTCAGCGTATGTTTTGTTCAGCGCAGCTTTCAGTCGTCTATTAATGCTTCCAGAGACGTCGTCGCTTATAAAGTTGATCTGTATTAGGAATGGCTTCTTGCTGTTTGTTATTATCTCTAACCTATGGCCTTAAAACCTTCTACATTTAGTGATAAACTTCTGTGAGTCACTGTTGCCCTGCAGTAATGTAGTCATTCGGGATCTTAATCAACACATGGTGTAAAATAGATATCTATTTCTTCAAGGTATTCAGCAAAAGACAAACTTTAGATATGTGAATATTTTCATTGAAAGAGTTATAAAAAACTGGATTGACGAAATAGCCCTTTTCAATTATCTCTGCATCCTTGACTCTACGCCAACATATTGATTCTTTTATCAATAAAAGTGTACATAATAAGAAGACGATAAATTCTACAATTTTCATCGGGTAACAATGTAAGAGTAAAACTTGGTCGTCGTAATGAAGTGTAACTCTATGTTAGATTGTATATTTGACATAACATAAAATTATGTAGTATTATTTTATTAAGTGGGGTTTCTAGTAAAATTTATTGCTCATATTCACATCAAAATAATCATACGACTACTAAAATTTCGTTTTATAGTCTAACAGTTCTTCATTCATTTAGTTTAATGATAGTAAAATTTTTCACTTATCTGCAATACGGAATGAGTCGTTCATTCATGTTACATGTGTGTTAGGTGTGGATTCGAAGAGCTAAGATTCTGTGATGCATCTCTTCCCCCACTTAGCTACATTGGATTTTAGTATTGTCATCCTATCTGACCCACCGCATAATGTGATTATGAGTCAATTCATGCAGAGCGATAGACGAGTTTTGCTCTAAATTACTTATCTTCATATAGTCTACCATTATATGTTTCGCTAAATATTTGTGTTCTGTCATTCTGAGTGACCCATATCAGCTGCTTTGACCTATATACTTGACCTCATAATCATTACATGGTATTTGATATCTTAGGTTACTTTGCTTAATTAGCTTAATTGTTATGAAATCCAAGTAAAATCTCTAATGTACCTCCTTTATGTTACAAAATTGAAAAGAATCTGAATTCTCTTCAAGACATATTACAACTACTATTGATATTAGTATTCTTCCTCATATTATTATTATTATTATTTGTCCCTTGAGTTCCTGGTGGAACATAGGGCTTTAATAGCACGTCTCCATTCCACTCTCTTCTCTCCAGTCTTTTGAACCTGACTCCACCACTCAACACAAGTTCTCATTTCTTCCTCACATGATCTCCTTCATGTCACCCCACCTCGGACGTCCAACTCTTCGTTTCCCCCTCGGATTCCACTCGACGGCCTGGCCTAATGCATGATGTCCCCAATCTTTCTTCTCAGTGTGTGCCCTATCCAGTCCACCTCTACTTTCTTCTGCATATTTATTGGTGATAGGCTCTCGGTTGGTTCTTTGCCAGACAGCCAGTCAGAATTACTTGTTGCTTATTCTCATTATTCTGGCCATCTGAGCCTGAGTAACGAGCCAGCGTAGGTAGTTGTTGATGAATGTCTGTAGTTTGTTGGAAATGTTTTTCGTGACGCGCCAAGTCTCTCAACCATGTGGAAGGACTGACTTGACTGAGTTGGTGTTGAAAATCCGGATGTTGTTCACGCTTCATGCTGAGTGTGGTAGATCTCCACACTGATTTCAGGTTAATGAAAGCCTGTCTTGCTTTTCCGACCCTGGCTGGCTTTGACACCCTGGTCTGTGTAGTTTGTAGTTGAAACAGTGCTGCCTAGATGGGTGAGAGAGGCTACTTGCTTTAAATTCCCCCCGTTGATGGTGATTGAGTCTGGGAATAAGTAACTGGAAACTTGAAGTAAAGGAAGCATAAACAGAAAACGGTGGAATTTCTAGACACAATGAATTCACACGATTATCTGAAAAGAAGATTCGGTTAAATTGAAGCATTGAGAGACCTGAAGAAACAACGTAAAATTTTTATGAAGGAGATTACGTTATATTCACGTGGTGAGTAAGTCATCTTAGGTATTTCATTATGCGTCGTCACTTTCTTTCAAAAGGATACATCGGGATACTAAGTTAAAATGTTTGTCATTTATAAGTCACCAGGTGAATATCAGACAGTTATGACCTTAAATTTTGGTCAACTAGCCTTAGTATTTTATGCGACTGACGAGTGACGATGGACGAAATTCTGTACCAACAGGCAGAATTCATTAGTACCCCACGATTCCACTTGACCTAAAAATAACTTAAGTGTCATCCATCTACTTCTGTTAAGAAGTTGTTCTTATTTTAATTGGACTGACTGTTATAGACAAATAACAACTCCTCGTTCGAACATTGCTAATGGGCTTAACTGATAATTGTTAGATTGTAATTTTTATTCAACGGTTTCCGCCATGTTTTAAATCTAGAAATGTAGTTTTAACAAGAAGATAATACCTATTGAATAACAGACAAAAAAAAGGGATTATGTAAGGAACAAAACCTCGTAACACCCCTAAGTGAATGAAATAAAGTAAATTTCTGATTTACATCAGAAACTGAAACCGTGCATATTTACGCATATACTTGTTAGTAGTTTAAATCACTGAAACGTTATCCTGTCAAGTACAGTTTTAAAAATCATTTAAAGCAACAACAACATCAAAAGTAGGTTCATCAATTACTCGAGTGCTATTCTCAATTTTATTGGATCTTCTTTATCATCAACTACTTCAGCTCTAGCAAGCATTTCCATTTCTTTTAATCTTGAAGTTAGTTCATTCACTTCAGTAATTAGTAATTTTCTTCCATCGAATTCCATTCTCCATTCATTTTCTTTCTTCTCTAATTCACTAGTTAAGTGATCAATCTGTTGAGATAAAAAAGGAATTATTCATTTGTTCAACAAATCAACATTGTATGATGGTTTTTGTCACACTGTCTCACTCACACCAAGACCAACTGAAATCTGTATGAATTAGGAAGAGGGAGTGAATGGTTGTTCATAAGACTGTATTAGATAGCATGCTGAAGAATGGTGAACTACATACCTGCTACCCAATACTTAATGGTAAAACATTCAATGTAATTGAGTCTTTTAGTTTTGCTAGTTCAGCTTGGGATGAATCACTCGGAGACTTGATTTGAATCAATTGGTTGGTCATTTATAAATATGGATTTAAGACATTCTACTTATGATAATTTGGTTGGCCATGGCTAGCAGAAGAATTCAGGGCACGCATAGGAGCCCATAGGAGCTCATTTGCCAATAGAGGTCGAACAATTCCATCCAATAAAACAACGGAGAATAACAAGTATATCAATAAATAGTAGCATTTTACTTTTTTTTGGAAAAGGTCTTCAGTGATGAAAATATTTTGGAATGTTTCAGAATTATACAATTATTGAAGAAGTGTATTGGCCCACAACAAAGTAGAAAAAGATCAAGTCAACACGATGATATAAATGATGCTGAAACACTTCCTTTCCTGGAGGTAGCAATTTAATATTGTGATAAACCATCTTCGTGATTAACTTGTTATGTAGTTGCTTTTACAGGTTTCAATCAGTATTCCATTATTCTCAGAATCGGATAGTTGCACATTCGTTCAGATTAACCACGAGAATACTTTCTAAAACCGTTTAATATTATTGTTGGAAAGTCTACAGCTAATCACAATCTAAGACGTTACACAGTCATGCAGGACTAAATGTAACTTTAACGAAGTCAACAAGTAAAGGCAAAATACGCAAAAAGTTTTTTAGTCTTGTAAAATCATGGTATGTATATTGGGTGATGATGGATAGTGAAATGAAAATTCAGACCATGGCAGGATTGGAATCAGTGACAGCCAGGTTTCCGGCCCGATGCTCTGTCAACTAAGCTACGAGGTCCAAAAGATTGCTCCTCAACCGGGACTCGAACTCAGACCTTCCATATGACAGGCGGAGATACCTACTGCTATACTTCATAGCTAAGTTGGTATAGAGTTGGGTCGGAAACCCGGTGGTCGCTGGTTCAAATCCTGCCGCGGTCGGAATTTTTATTTCACCTTCAATCATCATCCAGTATAAATACTAGTCTGCCAACCTATGGCTATCTCAGATAGTCAAATGATAAATGATAGTATATTTAAGGATTTCCTCCTTTTTTTGAAAGTCTGATCGTATATATTGTTCTATGTGCTCTGATTGACTTAAAGGTATCAAGTGAACTTCACTGTTATCCTCACAGGGGCACAACAGTGGAATGGTTCTTTATTTCAGTTAAGAATCTAAACTAATGTTTTCAATCAGATTAAGACTGCTGAAGTTGGTCTTATTACTCTAGACTAAAACATTTTGTTGGTGTTTGATAAAAAAAATAGTTGCTTAAGTTGCCTGAAAATATGAGCATTAAAAATAAAAGCGTGTACATTACGTTTTGATTATAGTTTCATATAATTGAAGTTTAAGATGTGTATTTTGTTCTTTTCAGAATGAGAAGTTTGATGTACCTGTTTACTAAGGAGTACTGTTTTTTCTGTTCAAGAAGATGGACGTCAAAAGGAATTAGATAACTTTTTTAGTTCAAAGTGAAACTTGTATTCATTAAAAAATTTTTGTTGTACAAGATCTTAAGACTGACGCAATTGTCAAACTGATTATTCCTGTCACCTATAAAGCAAAATATGACCGCTGAAGCTACATGAAGGTGTGGGTCAAGCATTCATTTAATAGGTAATATTACGATTTTGTCCATTATGTGTGCTTTATTCTGATAAATTATATGAAAAGGACCAGCACTGTTATTTTGGCGCTATTCATGTCATCCACAATTTAAATACTCAATATGGAGGTTTGTGAGTAATTATTTATTGATTTAGTTTTGTAGTCAGCAGATTACCATTGAGCTAGTGCGTTGAAATTCAGTGGTCCATATTTCCTGCTTCTGTCAATTCATGATACAACATAACTTGCATCCAGTGACGTCACTGAGTAACTGTTCTCACATCGTGACAGGTGGGGTCAACCAATTCGGGGACAGTTATTCAACGATATCATTGGACAAAGGTAACGCTGTATCATGAACTAACTGAGATAGGAAATGTGAATCACTGGATTCCGACCCAGTAGCTCAATGGTATCGTGCTGACCACAAAACCTGAAGGTTCTGGGTTCGATCCATGGTGTGATGGAATCATAGGTGAACACTGTTGAGAATTCTGGTACTGGTACGAAACAGCTGTTCAGTGCTGCCAGGTTTCCAGTTTTTCTCCAACTGATGTCAGTCCATGACTGATACCAATATCAAATATACAGACTACATGAAAATGCTTGTAGCATATTGAAACGTAGACGTTTACAACATACTAGTGGTTAGAACATAACATATAAGCGAACAATATTGTTTTCAGTTAGATTGTGTTCAGGCTTTCCTCTAATACAAATAGCTTAATACATTTGATCACACATTTGCTTGTTAAGGCATTATATATGAAAACTGGAAGTGGAGGAAGGACAAATATGACATAAAGGAATTCAATAATACATTTATAAAAGTTAAACCATTCTTATAGATTTGTCGGTTAATGTGATGAATGTTTTAAAATAGCAATGGTGGTCGCTGGTTAGAATCCGGCCGTCGTCCAGATTTTCATCTCACCCTCAATCATCACCCAGTATAAATAGTCAAAATAATAACGTTGACTAAAGTAGTTATAATATAGATAATGATAATGATGATAAGAACCAAGAAACCAGCATGATAGTGAGATAATAAAAGTGGGTCAAAAGCCAGGGGAAATATAAATTACATGATATCGAAAGACGAGGTACGTGGATAAACAACGTCCAAACAAATATGAAAAGTATATGAAAGGCGTGAAAAATAAGAAAGAGGTAGGAAAAAATTTCTATGATAAAGTAGTTTACTAAGCAATCCATGAACAAGGAAGAGATAAGGAATGTCCAAACGTCTTCTGGCTACAAAGACAAGGATAATTAGCTCTACTTCCCATAGCTTCTGGTATGTGTAAAAGACGAGTTCGAATAACTTTTGAAAGATGAGGTGGTATGCTGTGAATAATCGTGAAAGCATTGTTCTTACCTAAAAAGTGACCACTATGAAAAAGGAGAAATAAAAACCGTAGGTGCTCAGCAACACATCAGTTAAATTGTCTAGTACCACACCCTGTATAGCTTTCTCCACAGGAGCAGCTAAACTTGTAAATCAACATAGAAATGGTAAAACTAGATAGCTTATCTTTTGTCCGAGCAACAACAGTTAGTCGACTGGAAAATGATAAACAGGGTTGTGTGGTGTAGAAAGTCCTCTTAATGTGTCTAGAGAGTTTCGGATATAAAACTTCTCCGGCTGCATCCCCATTAAATTGCAATTTCGTGAACAACGGTTTCTTTTCTACAGCAATAGTTCCAGGTTTGTTTCCCCTTGCTTTATGCATGTGTCTTTTTATGAAACTGTTAGGGTAGCCCATCTCAACCAATGAATTACGAATACATTGTAACTCCTTCTGTATTAAACCATCTGAAACCATTCTTCTTGGCATATTAGTGGGGCATTTAACCAGGTTTGTTTTGTACCGAACGGGTATGTGACCAAGATGTGTGTACTGACTTATAGATGTATTCTTCGTGTAAACATATCTATTGAGTGAATCATCTTCTCCTCTGCTTAGCAAGATATTTAAGAAGTGTAGTTTACCGGCATTTTCTTCCTCACAAGTGAAAGTGAGTAAAGGTTGCATCTCATTAAACTTCCTTACCACCTCGTTTCTATCCACACTCTGATCCAGTATAATGAATGTGCCATCAATATAACAATGATACACATTCATCTCATCAATGACATCTTGCAGTGCTCCGTTCTCCAGTTTGGTAAGAAATAGATCGTCTAAAATAGGGCCAAGTGGTGAAACAATAGCTATCCCATCAATCTGTCTATAATGTGACCTACTGAAGACAAAATATGCATTCATGGCAAATTTAAGAAGCAACTCCTTGAGGTTTTGCACTAGGATCCTGATACTGATTTGCCTTTCCAATATTTGGTGACACATAAACTCTACCGTCTCCGATTATGGTACACTAGTGAATAGTGATAAGATATCAAGCGACATCATATGTTTTCCATTTAAATTCACATTATCTAGCTTAAAAACAAATCCAAAGATATCTTTTACACAGTGGTTAACTAATTCTTTGTGTTATTCATCTAGAATCCTTACTGGCCACTAAGCAACTGCATGGGAATGAAGAGTTAAGCATGTCTAAAACTGGACGAAGAGGGAGTCTGGGTTTATGTATTTTAGGCGGACCATGTAAGCGTTATGGGTTACTTACTGTAGGTATATATAAGTATATATATTAGGCTATTCGTATTAGAGTAAAGCCTAAAGAGGATCTGACTGAAAATAATATTTCGCTCTTATATGTTTTGTTGATGGTTTTCGTAAAAGATTTTGATAAAGTTCTAACTCACACTGCCAACTTTTAAGTCTTCGTTAACCTAAGCTTAAGATTTTCATTACAAAACCGAAGGAAATTTGTTTTTTGTCGACTTACCTCACATTTTAGTGAAGTAGTATTTTGTTGTAAGCATGTAATTTGGGATTGAAGCTCATTTTTTTCCATTTTCAATGCTTTTATATCTGCAACAGTTGTAAAAAGAAACGAATATGCCTTTAGTTGTATTTAAAGCAATAGAAAAGGAACTATGTTTTATAACCTGAGAAGACCTACTATTTTGCTATCACTTTCGTACTGATCGAGACACAATACTTCCTTATAAACAGATAAAATCAATGTGGATCCTAGCATACAAGTGCAACGGTTCAAGTTGTCACACTTCATAATAGAACACAAAGAACAGTTGAATAGAAAAGGAGTGATATCAAAGTAAATAGAGTTGTACGAGATAATAAACAACCTGAAGATAACAGTTAGTGCAAATATTCAAGCTTTAAGAGACGTTAAAGAGTGAATAAATGTTTGTGTCACGGTGGTTGACTTCCAGCCATTATCACCAAGAGTCCTCAAACCCTGATTCCTTTCGTCTCAGAGACCCCAACCAAGCAGTCTTGATGTCCCCCGTACGACTCAAACCGACAAACCGACAGACTTCATGAACTGTTGCCACTTCTTCGTCTGGCCAACCTAATCCAGCTTCCATTAGCGTGGCACTTTGAGGTAGGTGATGGCTGGGTATGCACAGTACATGTCCAAGCCATCTCAGTCGACTAAAGTTCACAACCTTATCAATCGATTTGCTTGTCTTTCCTAGTATCATTAACCTAACCTCAACGTCGGTCACACGGTGATTCTACCAAATGCCAGCAACACCGCGACGATATATATGATTGAAACCTGTAATGGTTTCATGTCTTCTGCTCTGATTGGCCATGGGTCACATCCATGCAACAGGACAGAACTGACTGTAGTATGGTTTACTCATCCTTCTATAGACGGTTGGAAATCTTTAAAGTCGGCGACAGAGATGATGCAAGTTAGCATGCTAACTTGCTAATATGTATGATATACATGACTTCATGCAAACCAGTATCATTGATAAGTTTGAATTCACATTACTCCATACGGTAAACAACACTGACCAGCACACACTCAGTATTAGGGATATCAGCAGATGTATCAGGAATTACGAAAATAATTATGTTAACGCCAGTCTTAGTGTATACTTTATATATATCAGGAATCTAAACAATTTTTAGTTTATAATAATGACTGATAGTGAATATCGATAGAATCCAAAACGCGCATTTCGTCCCCTTTGAGACTCGTCAACCGGATGCACCTGTCTGCCGTTGAGCAATGGTGTTCCTATTTATAACTCGAACCCGGTACCGATGGCTTCAAACACCAGAGTGTTATACATTAGATGAAAGAATATGTCGAATGTAATTTACAAAAACAACTTGTTATAACAAGGTTTCAGTGGAAAATATTAAATAAATGAAGTCAGTTAAATGTTGGGTAACACACTGATGGACGTCAGTGATTAACAACAGATCTATTGATCATTGAATGGATTATTATTTTTCTGCTCACTGAATAAACATTCTATATCGCAGAAAAAAAGAAACATAATCAAACCCATAAGCTAATCATTGTCAATAAAGAGGCATTTGAACGTTTGGGACGTTATTAGCACTAAATCACGTTTAAGTAATACATTAATGTTGAAGAAGTTAAGTATTCTGGTTGATTTTGAATTCCACTCAGTAAAACCACTGCAAAAACATTTTTGTAATCTTTAAACATATCTCTTCTTTCTACATAAAATTGAAGCTGTTGACTGCACTAAGTTTTTTGATTAGAATTTCACTACTAAATGTACGACAAAGTTGTACAAAAATGACTATTCTCATCTTGAGTTGCGAGTATTTTCCATCATCTCAAACTTGCTTACCTTTATTTTCACATCTTCGTATTGCACTGACACGATCTTCACATTCTTGTGAAACTGTCCATATCAATTCCTAGATAAAGAAGAATGAATCCATTAGTTGATAAATAAAGAGGAGAACCAACATCATTTCTTCAACATTTTCACTTGCAACTTACCCTAACTGGTAATAGTTTTTTCAATTTATTCTGTATGTGTACTAAATACAACTCATATTCAGCTTTAATTTCTGCCAATAATGGTCCATAATACGCGCATGCTTGTATAAAGATTGTAAATATTTCACGATATATCTTTAGATTAAATAAGACAAAAAGAATGGAGTAATAATTCTATAATGATAAGTAGTAAACTAAAGTATTAATTTGACACTGATTATGGATAATTCATGTCTAGGAAAAGTCTTGGTCATAAACTGAAGTTATATGGAGGAAAACTGAAAGAAGGAAGATTTGTTTTCTACTGTTTTAACACTAGTCAGAAATGAAAATGAAGGTTTCCACATATCTGTATGACTATTTTTTCGCTGAAATGGAATCCAGTGCTTGTTACATTTTCATTTATGCTATATAACCAACATTTAATGTCACTGTTAACTTGATTAGCCAAGCTTTATGAAATATTGTTCATCATGATAGCTGTCAGTATTCAGGCGTAATTAGAAATGGCTTATGGAAATACTTGAACCTGTAAAGAAGAGGCTATTAAAACACAGTCTCCGTGACGCATTTGATTTTGTTGATTCATTTAAGAGTGTCAGTTTGACAGGCAAAAGAATAATCTCATTGGATATCTTGTCCCTCTTCACAAATGTTCCACTGAAAGAAACCATTTACTTCTTATGTGACTTCATTCAATGTCATAACATATATGTTAATATTCCAATCCATTACTTAAAACAGCTTTTTCTATGTATCTTCGGTGTATAATTCCGACCTAATAATGAAGTCTACGGGCGGATAGAAAGTAGGGTAATGGGTTCTCCACTAGGATACCACCTAGCTGACTACTTCGTGGTAAGCCTGGAAAACACCAAATTATCAACAAAAATCAATGAACTTCATGTCTATAAAAGATACATTCATAACGCCTTCGTAGTTTGTGGTGAAAATATGAATCTTGTAAACCTGGTTCAAACTTTTAACAACGCTCGCCCCTCAATCAGATCGATGCTAGAGTCAGAATCAAATTGAACGTTCATTTTCTTGATGTTCAACTCCGAAGAAAAGATGATAATTCACTTAGTGTATCGACTTACAAAAATCCTATGTGAAACAGACAGTTTATCAATTTTCAAAGTTCAGTCTTACTAAGTAGGAAGAGAAATCTTATCCATTCACTTTCCTCGAGGACACTGTTGACGAAGAACTGCAAAATCTCCGACTAACTCTAGTGGAAAAATTTTCCCGCCCACATTCATAGATACGAACATGAAGCGAAAGAGCACAACTGAGCGAATACATTTGGAGACCAAAACGATTCTTTTTCTGAATCCTCAGAAAACGATTGTCAGAATCCTTATACAGAACATATTTTGCAGCTAACCTTCGGATTATTGTACCCCGCAAAAAATGTCCTGGTCAATATGTGAAAGATAGGTTGACGCGTTGGACCACATCAATGTGTGTATATCTGTTTACTTGCCCATGTTGAACTGAGTACATCAGACGTAAAACGTGCTCACGAACACTACCCAGCCTGGCTAGTAAAGGGAAGACGGAAATGTGTATCCTTTTGAGAACTCATTTAAAATCTCATACAGGATTTGATCAAACCGCTAGAAGGGAGAAACATCAAGGCATTTAGGCATAGCTGAAGTAATAGTGATTCGGAAGTTCAAAGCAGCGTTATTACTTCATAAAGATACGTTCATCCTTTATCTCTGAATGGCCATCACTAGATCTTGACTGTCATTGATTTTTCCTGTATTACGACCGCCTGCTTGAACTTTCGGTTGCCTATGAAGTTTTCTAACAGATATATAATATCATATTCTCTCATATCAGTTTATTTTAATCATTCAAATACATCTTTCAAACGTATCGTGTACTCTTACTGGTTTCTAAAATATTTTGAAGTAATTGTTTTTCAAGTTATTAACAAAATAAAAAGAAAACTGTAATGCTAAACGGAAATGGACCTTTGAATGTACAAATATATATCATATTTTTATTCCTCTTATACCTATCTTGAATATCATATTCTTCTACTGGCTGAATGAACCATCACCACTAAACACCGGACGGTAATCCAATCGTGACTGGCTAATTAACATTTTTGCCTTTAATGCTGTTATTATAAACGTCGTTCAGATGCAATCATCATTTTGATGGAAAATATTGTTTTAGGAGTAAATCTGTTAAGATATTATATGCTGAGAATTTCATAGTGTATCGAAAATATCATCTGAAATAAGGCTAGTATTATTATGCATTTTTATTTTCATAATCCCTCGTTTATTTTCCTACTCTAAATCCTCATTTGTATTAATTGACTTCTTTTCGCTACTAAGGTATAATTTGCCACATGATCGGAAATAATTCTGGAGTATTCCTCACTGCTGTAACATATATTCACGAATGTATAGCATAGTAAATGACTTCACCGAAAAGAATCATTTTTCTTAACTGCAACCACTTTTTATCTTTCCGTTGATCAGATGGGTGTACTCTACTGTTTATTGCGTAATACTTTTAATTATATTAAAGCAAACAGCATCATTGATCTACACATTAAAAAGCTGATTCTTTGTGTTCCAAAGAAATGCATACAATCACCATCAGAATCTTATTAGATTGTATAGTTGGACATTTTACCTGATTTCACTTCTTACTATTTTATTCGTTCAAACAATTTTTACGTTGTTTTCGTTTGAAACAACTCCTTGACTTTTTCTGCATGATTTATTACCCCGATATAGTTGATGGATTAGTTGGATCATTATTTACTTATTTTTGTTAGAATTGATATATTCAATAAATAATTCATTTCATGTTAAATCGTAACTCATTTTCTGTTGTTGAAATTTTTTATAGCTGAAGTCAAGTTCGATCGTAGGCTGAAGAAATAAATAATTATATCCCATATTGTTGCTTGTATTACACCGTTGTTGATTGGACCGAATAGGTCGGTCTCTATTGGGATATGGACTCAAGTGCAAATACAATATTAATGGATCGTGGCTAAAAGTGCAATTCAGAATGCACGTTTTGTCTTGTCTGAGACTCGTCAGCTGAATGTACATACTTGGGAGGCAAGTGCATCTAGTTGATGAGTCCAAAACAGGAAGAAACATGCCTCTTGGATCCCACTGCTAGCAATCATTAATATATAATTATATCTCAGTTTAACTCAATCCATAGACACTAAAGGCAAGTGTAGCATTTTTAATGAATCACGTCCATCTGGAAAATCATGTTTAGGAAAACAAGACTAATTGTTATTTTGTTTATCATAAAATCACTAACTCAGTGTAATGGTCAGTTATAAAACTGAGCATTTGATTCATGCAGCTAAAGGCTTTAAGTGTACTGAAAGATCCTGGACACCAAGTCTCTTAACAAATATACTCAAAAAGCGTAATTATCGTTACCGGAGTGACTGAAGCGAAAGAACACATAATTGATTATCTGAATAAGAGATTTCACTATTATCATTGTACAGTCTAACTAGTTTAAGTTGTATAATATGATCCAGAAGCAAGTATGTTACTCATTGAAGCTTCAGTTTGTAACTGAGTATCTGCAGAAGTACCCATAAAAACGATCAAAGTCGGATGTTAAAAGTCTATTGAAGGATGTTAATTTTCATTGAATCTTTGAGAAATAAAACAATCTCACAGTTATAGCTTTTGAACGCCTATGGACTCATTAATTCGACTGAAAAGTTCTTTTTAACATTATACAAACACTGAATTTACCTGTAATCGTAAAGGATTCGGTTCACCGTCTGTAACGTGAAATTTCGTTTTCTCTCTATTGATACGTGATTCTAGCATTTCTAAGAATCTTGGTTTTTTCACTGGTGGTATCTCTAGTTAATAGATCGGTAAATTATTTTAATCTCATAGTTTAATGATACACCAATAATAGATGACTACATTAAAAAGGTTCTCATAAGTACAAGCTAACTGGTAACAATAATCACGTTGTTTCACATCATAGTATCGTTGAAAATCTGGACAAAGGTGATAAGTGTGTTAGATCTGCCTTCTTTGATTAAACTACTACCTTTGTTTCTGTCTCTAGACCCCCTTTATTAAACAAGCTTACAAGAATTCACATCCACTCTTAGGTTGTAAACTAGCTTCATACTTGCTTTTTCGAGAGAAGAGAGTATACTTTCTATAGAAGGAAGCTCTCTACTTCGCTAATAAGTGAAGCTGGTATGCCCCAAGGTGCTGTTCTGTTTCTCTTTCCTTTTTCTTTCTTTTTGCATGAATTATCAACCTCAGCTAAAACTAACTTTTTAAGTTTGCGGATGACCTGACAGTATCCATGCCTATTATCTCCCCTTCAGACTCCTCACTTCAGTAACTTCCTGACCGAATTTGGTCACTTGTCTTGCTTAAATGGCCTCATACTCAATCCCTTTAAATGTCGGCTGGTTAATTTCAGCTTTAAGACTTGAAAAAGGCGCATGTAAATTGCTTCAGTTTCGGGACTTTTGTCTTAAAGAGGGTTCTGTTGTAGAGAATATACTGAGTGCAACTCATCTTGGCTTATGCATTTCCTCTCATAGTTTACTAATTTGCATGAAAATCGATCGCTTGAATTCATACATAAGGAAACACAGATTGTCTGGCATAACTCGGCCTCTACTCTTATATTTAATTAATTCCTGTATTTTGCCTATACTTACATTTTGTTCCCCATATTCTTTCCTGGAATCCGGAAAAAAGACTGTGTTGTGTTGGTTGAGATTCTTTAGGTTGTTAGTAGAGCGAGTCGTGCACCACTAACGGTGCTGATAAATACAGTCATGGATAAGTATCTGAACTCTTGTAGAAAGCTGGCTAAAAGTATTTTATCTAATGAGAAGAATCCTGTGCACCCACACTTCTCTCCATGTCTGTCCTCAGGGAAGGCAAAAAGCAAATACATTAGACTTTATGTACGCATGACTACATACAAAATTTCAACCATATTACTCAATTTAGTTTGTGCATTGTGTAAAGAAAACCATCTTAGACATAGTCTTAGCAATCAACTTACACAATGGCGAACGGTTAGTGCGAACCTGAAGTCATTAAACATTTTACTAATCATGTTGTTTTTTAAATTTATTTGTTAAACAGAACCGTTGTTATAGTGTATATTTGGAAAATGTTGTACAACGGGTGAACTAATGCAGTTAAACACATGCTAAGAATTCTGTACAGTAAACATAATTGTGGATATGAATAAAGCAAATGTCTTGTTACTATTATTATTATATTGTAGTTAACACTACTGACTAAAATCTGTTTTGTAAGTTAAGAATCTTACGCTGTAAAATGGCAGTTAGTTTTCGAAATAAGAATTCTAAGCTGTTGCCTCACGCAGCCATTACATTGGAGTATTAGACTAGGATAAATAACTTTAGAGATATAATAGATTGTCAACGCTTTTGAAGACGGAGTTCCTATTTTACTGGCATTTGGATTCAGTCATGAGTCAAGTGAAATAATGTGGAATTTATCTTATGTCGTAGGTTTGAAACTTATTTCAGTCGGAATTGCTTAATGATATTTTCAACTATCATACAAAAGCTGCTACTTTTACTCCATTTCTGAACCAGGATACTAATTTACTGTGGTAAAATTACAAGTAACTATAGTCTTCAACCATGTCATAAAATGTGTTAAACTAAACCTTGTCAACTAAACGCACTTAGCTGTTACGACAACATGTTAAGAGGATGATCAGATTGGTAGCTCTTCACAAACTGCATAATTTGCGCTAACACATTTCAATAAACCAATTTTCCTTCAACTGTCCAGCTTTTATGTAAACAGGGTTTCTATTAACTCCCACCTCTCCACCGACAAAGACCACGACGTTGGAAAGTCTGACGCAAGTGAGTCATAAGTTAATAAGGTATACTACAACTGAAAGTTCTGCAGGAATAATATGGTGTGCATATAATTTGAAAACTGATTATCCAATTTGTGACCTATTTATCCATCAAAATCAGTTGGGCAGAATAATTTGTTCTAAACAATACGGTGAAACGGTCTTTCAGTATTCATATCATTTTTAAACTGACTAGCAAAATTCACAGATAAATGTTCGTGGTTTACAAAAGTCTACACTGCTTTTCGTGGCTTGGATCAACAATAATGAACTTCAACAAACTGGTGCTACTTTTTATTTTGGATAGTTTTTTTCCGTCCAATCATTACTCACCTACATAACACTTTAGAGTAGATAGTGGCTAATTAACAATCGAAAACGTTTCAGTAATCTCAGTCGGGGTTTACCTTATTGACTGATTTACCAAGCCTCAAAGTCTAATGTAGTAGTTTTGCATCCTCTGTGGTCTAACAGAGCAGTTTACATCCCCTGTCGTTATCACACACATGATCTGCAAAGCACATGGTATAGACTAAAGACACGTAGGCTGGCAGTTCAACGTAGAAGCTGACACAGAAGTGAATCGTTTCAAGTTACAACACTTCACAGCAACATTCAAAGAAAAGTTGGATAGAAAAAAGGTGTCAAAAAGTAGGCACAAGAATAGATAAGGAAATGTAGATAGAAAGATAGGTAGATGAAGATTAATCAAAGTATTCAAGACTTTTTAGTAGCCAAAGATTTTATACATCTACACCATTGTAGTTTATTTTGAGTTATATGGTAAAAAATATCCAGACACGGATTCTATGCACCGTGAACACAAAAGTATATGACTATCTTTTACTTTCTGATATGTTACAGTAAATTTCACATTTGACAATTTTAAGTGCATATATCTCTCAATAAAAACTAGATATCTACTCAGATTGCAAGGTGGAAATTGTAACTTTTTTTAAAGTTCATAACGAAACGGTGAGTAAGCCATTAATATAAGTGAATTTTGAAGTTGTAGGGATTTGGAAATATTTCAAGTTGTTATTCACCCTAGACTGACATCAGTCGCACTATATCGTGAGCTAACAGAAGTTGGAAATATGGACCATTGGGTTCTGACCTAGTGGCTCAGTGGCAACTTGCTGGCCACGGAACCTGAAGGTGGCGGGTTCGATCCCTGGCAGGGTCGTGGGTGCGCACCGCTAAGGAGTCCCATACTAGGACGAAACAGCTGTCCAATGCTCCCAGTTTTGCTTTGCTCGTACAACTGATGTCAATCTACGATGAATAACAACTTGAAACATTAATATAAGTGTAAAAATTGGGCACCATGGTAGAATGTGATTCCATACTAGTACTGTTTAAATGATATACAGCACATAGTGATGCAGTATTATTTACTCGATGACGTTCCAAGTATAAATAATTGTTCATAATCATATCGATGTAATCACATTACTTTCGATATCTGTTTGGTGTATAGTCCTGTCACCTCATATCATTCATTTTTATTGGCAGTAAAATTTTCCTTATCTCTGGTAAACGTGTTGCGTCAACCCCTTTACATGTGTTCCGTGTTGGTTGATTCGATAAACAAAAGTCCAGTAATCAACCTCTCCCTTTTTCTTCACCGAATTATATTGGACATGAATACAGTGGTTTTGTCCTACTCTATTGTGTGGTTATGTGCTAATGCATGCATTGCAATAGCCGAGTCTTTTTATGGATTATTGATCTTATTCGGATGTTATTCTCTATTTAGCTAAATTCTTATGTTCCGCCAACCTAACTGATACTGACCAGATGGTTTCACCTATGTACTTGACATCATAGTCATTACATGGGATTTGACAGATTAGACTATTTTGCTTAATTGGTTCTATCGGATCCTTAAGCCGACAGGGTTCATCACTGTGTAAGTGAGTTTGTAGGTTTAAATTTCAACTTAATTCCAGCTTTATTGAGAATTCTATGTAAAGTTTCTGATATACCTTCCTTATAGGGTGATACACTGGAGGTTGTGAACTCCTTTCTTCTTGTGTAGTCATTGTTATTCGTCTACTGTTACTGTTAATATTTCCTTTCATATGTTTCCTTATGAGTTCCTTAATAAACTACTGACATCATCAATATCAACATAGGACCAGGCATTATTGCGTAACGGTCCGAGTTGCCACAGTTCATATCAGTAAATCGACTGAAAAGGCAGTGAGATGTAAGATGATAATACGAAAATTCAGTCAAAAGAAATACAAAGAACCCAAAGAGGGAAAGGAAGAACGAGAAAATGGTGAGATTCGATAAAGTGTCATTAAGATGAGGATAATGTGTGTATACATCTGCACCGCTGACATCGGTTCTGAGCCATACCATTTAGAGTCTCTAACCACCATTTCCTCTTGTCCCGCAGACCCCAACTGATGACAATAACTATTAACAGTTAGAGTTTCCTTTATGTGCTTCAGTTCCTTGTTTAGGTCCTTGTACTAACTAGTCATTTTTCTGGGATTACCATTTAGACATTTGACTAAAGCTGCCCTAACTGACATTGATTGGATGAGATGACCTGAAGTCTAGATATCTATCAGAATGTATCGGTTTCCTGAAGACAGTAGTATCTAAATCACTGTCTGTCCTTCGTTTTGTCCTGCAGTCCAAAGTAGGTAATTGCGTCTACTACTGAGTTTATATGTGTGATGAAATTGTCTATATGTTCCGATTTCAACACAGTAGATGCGTCATCGACATATCAGCACAAAATCTTAGGTGCAGGACCAAACATTTGTAAAGCTATGTTTTTGCAATTACCCATGAATATACCTGTTATGATTGGGGATACTGGCAATCCCATTACTACTCCTTCTGTTTGTCTGTATATTTTGTCCTCAAACTTGAAAGCTGTGAGTGTCACGGACAACTTTACGCCTAATATGATCTAACCAACCGATATCATAGTTCCTTGAGTAAGTTCTGAGCCAATATTTAGCTGATTTCTGACTGCCTCCAGAGCATATTGATTGGTGCTTTAGTATGAAGACTTGTTGCATCAAAACTTACCAGTTTTTCATCCTCTTTCACAAAGTGTCAACAAAACTAACATTCATTTTTAATGATATTCATACATATTATAATGTATATCTATCAATTAATATTATCTCCAGCTGTAGTCATTACGGTACATGACCATACAAATAAAAGTATAGGGTTGAAAAATACATAATTTAATCGGGTTGAAAAACGATCTGCATTTCAGTAGGTTATTAGAAGACAAAGATTATCTGAAAAATGTGATGTATTTGCGCAATACATTTCGAACAATCTGATCACACATTTACTTGTCAAGTCAATTTATATATGAAAATTAAAGGTTAAATATAGTGAGAATGAAAAGGTTGTGACACTAGTCTTGGTAATATAATCAGATTGCCAAGGATTACCAAGGTAAATTAAGTGAAACAACAAATTGTTTTTGTACACACAGCGGGGGATTAAGTTTGCGAATGGCTAATGCTTCGGCAAACTTCAGTATGCGCCCCTGATTATTCCTGTATATTATCTTAAACGCTGTTTTCGTATTAACCCCGTGATTCATTTCAATAATATGTTTTGCTATAGATGACGATGGGTGTCTGTCACCTGCATTTATCAAAGTTTGTGTGTTAAACTGTTTTTCTAGCCATTCGGGGATGTGTTCACCCACCCTAGTCTGCATTGAACGATTACTCCTCCCTATGTATGTGTGCCCACACATACTTGTAAATTGGTAAACGCAGTAGGATGTGATGTAATCATTTGTGCGAGGTTGAGGTTTGTGGTGAAGCAGGTGTTTTGTCGTCTCAACAATTATAAGCTGAGCTGCATAGTATGTTTTACTGATAACAGATTTTAATCTCTGCTTCAATATCATACTACTTGTTTCTCCTCTGTATGGTACTTTAAGAAATAGTGTCACAACCTTTTCATATTCACTATATTTGATCTTTAATTTTCATATATAAATTGACTTGACAAGTAAATGTGTGATCAGATTGTTCGAAATGTATTGCGCAAATACATCACATTTTTCAGATAATCTTCGTCTTCTAATAGCGTTATCGAAATTTATTAAAGGGACTAATTGTTTCAAATTTCAGTAGGTGTTTGATTGACAACTTCTTAATTGATGGTTCAGAGGTTCGATAAATGAGGTCAGAAATACAGTTACTAATCAGGTCTAAATATCTTTCAGATTACCAAATATATTATGAATGATGTAAATCGTCCTTCACCTCAAATGTTTATTCGTCACCTATCTTTGCCATTGCATAGCAATCAGTATGGTAACCAAGGTTATCTGAGCGCAGCCTGTATACGATTTAACAGTTCATGAGTTGGTTGTGGCAAAATAATCTAAGTTATTATGGAATCTTTAGTCTCGAAGAAAGCATCTGTTATTTTAAGCTGCTTATCATCTCAGTTACAGAAATTAAGTCCATTCTTTACAAAAGCTGAACAGTAACACCACTATATTGTATAACATAGGGTACAATCTCTGAGAAAGTGTTAATCGGCTTGAGACAAAAAACAAGTAGCAACAAAAACGAAACTTGACTTCAGAGCTTCTCAAAAACGTGGTGCAGTTGAGCGTCTCAAGCCTAACTCTTACACTTTAATAGTCCTATGTTCAATATAGATGATGTACAATTAACCTTATAAATTTTCCTTATAATAAAGAAGTCAGTACTGCTAATTATAGATTCAGTGATGAAAACTTATTGTCAATGACCTCCATTACTTTTCGACAGCTAACAGCTCGTTCTGTAAATAATTGTCATAGCTGAAAATTTTAATATGTAGAAATATACTTACTTGATTGTTCTGGTGTTTGTCTAGCAATATGTCCATCTGATGAAACATGTATTCGATTAGTAGATCTTCGTCTGCTATTGGCATGTGCTGGCCATGCATCTATTATAATATTTCCTTTAGTTTCAACATTCTCCTAAAAGTAAGTATAATCTTATTAATAGGATATAGTTCAAGTCGATTTTGAATAGGAGTTTATTTACAGTTTATGACTAGAAATCTTACATCATCATTCATCTCCTTCTCACTTCATCAGATTTAATCAATATTAATGTTCCCTATGTTTAACAGAATTATTATCAATCGGAGAAAAATTTCATTTTACAGACTAGATTCATCTTGCTTGGAAAAGGATTATAATGCGTGTGGGTAGTACTTAAAGAGTCGCCTTTATGTTTATTTCGTGAATTTGCTGGGTTTTATTATGACAGTGGAAAACTGCGATGAATGAAAAAGCTGCAACTTGAGTTGAAAAATAATCTCTTTTTACCAACTAGGCTAAAAATAATTAAACTTGATTAACTGATCGAAAAATTTAGTATTTTTTGTAGAATAAAGTTAATCTATGTGTTTCAAGCTCGTAAGCTGGTAAGTCAACCATCCTTAATAGCGACAGCCAGAAATTCTTGTTGAGAGAATGGTTGAGCGAAAACGTCTCTCATAAGTTGAAAAGGTTCACGCAAATTTGAACACATTTCTAAATGAATTACTATGTGTTGGCTTGTGATTTAATTTCTTAAAGAAGGTCAGCAGAATGAAAACTGGGTGCATTTTAGATTCCTACACCATCGACTGCATAGAATGATAACATCCCACTGTGGCAAATGTAACTGTCTCACATTTCAGCTTCATGGCATCACAAGTTAACACCTAACTAACTGACAAAATCAATGTGGAACCTTGCATACAAGTGCATCGTCCCATGTCGTCACACCTCAAGGGAGTACTAAGAAGAAAATCTGGATAGAAAGGAGGGATATCAAAGTAGACAAATATAAGTGCAAAACTTGGACACTATGGTAAAATGCAATCCCGTAGTAGATTTTTTTTATTGGATTTATAACACACAGCGAATGATACAGTATTATTTACTTCATGCTGTTCCGAGCGTAAATGATTCTTTATACTCATATCCATCTAACAACACTACTTTTGATGTCTGTCTCGTTTTTAGTCCTGTCACCCACCTCATATCCTTCCTTTTTATTGGTAGTAAAGGTTTCCATATCTTTAGTATGGATGTTGCGTCATTCCTATTACATGTGTTGGTCAGGTGTTGATTCGGTGAACAAAGATTCAGTAATTAATCTCTCCCTCTCTCTCCACCTAATTATACTGAACTTAAATAAAGCGAGTTTATCCCACCTTATTGTGTGGTTATGTGTTAACGCATACATTGCACTGCAATAGCTGAGTGCTTTTTCTAGATTATTAATCTTATTCGGGTCTGTCATTCTATATTTAGCTAAATTCCTATGTTCTGCTATTCTAACTCACACCAACCAGCTAGTTTCACTTATATGCCTGAATTCACAGTCATTGCATGGGATTTTGCAGGTAGGAATTTTTACTCAATTGGATTCATCGTTTCCTTAAGCCCACAGTGTACATCTCTTAGTTGATTTGTAAGTGTAAATGTCACCATGATTCTAGCTTTGTTGGGATTCCTATGTAAAGTTTTTGATGTCCCTTTCTTATATGGTAACACAATAACGGTATAGCGAGTAGAAATAATTTCAAAGACTAATGTGTTACTATATATGGAAGAAACATCAGAGACTTTACCTAGGATTCTCCAAAAAGCTGCCATATGACTTTGTTGAATAAACAACCATGTGCACAACGTAATATTCTCATAAATCTTTCATGGGGGAAGTGAAAATTACCTCATAAAAATTTGAAATTCAGACTTAGACCGATTTAGATAAAGCCTTATTTTTACGTTTAACATTGAGATCTCATAGACAAGAGCTATATGTATTGAAAAGCCTGGTCAAGCGAACTGTGAAGGGATGACGGATATGTGTTCAACCCAGTTTAAACACTCATGACTGATTACAGATCGTAATTGAAAGGCTTACTACGAGTTCATGTTAACTATTTAGTTGATTTTCGGGCATTTTATGATGTTTTAGAATGGCTTATGTCCTGAGTCAATTTAAATGTAATCGGTACAACTAGTAGCATGCGAAGCTGAAGTTTAAGATTCGGTATAGACAAAAAACGCTTTAGTGTCTATTTGGTAGAAAAATTTGTATTTTATGATCAGATAACATAGATTCCGCTGTTTAGAATGTTGCACGCGCAGCTGGCTGCATAGACTTTGTGTGTAAAGTAGAGCTCAACACTCAAAGCCTGTCTACTTGATGGATATACGATATCATATACATGTATACCATATCGTCTACGTATGTGTATGTTTGTATGTAATAACAGATACCAACGAATAGATGCATCAATTTCTACAACAGGGAGTGAATTTTCCCACAATTTTGACATATTTGACTTTTGTTGTGCAATCCACATCAAAGGCTTTACTATGAACCTTGCCTTGAAGTAATTCAGTCAGCGTTTGAAATTTTATCATTTTGAAGCTTGAGGTTAGATCTTGTGTTATCGGTTTTGATGCGTTATCGCAACCTAGGTTTTTCTAGCCTAATTTTGACTGAATACTCCAGTTGAAGTATGGTTCAACTGGGAGCTTTAGTTGAGTTGTGAAAAACATGATTAGCGACGATCATGTCAACGGTCGACCCGGCTGTAAATACTCAGTCTATGAAGGTATGTAATGGGATGCCCTTGGATATTGGTTCCACATGGTTGGTACTGGACTGACACCAACCACGTACAAGCGTTTCAGTAAACCGGCTCCTTCCTGGTTATGTGGCTTTTGGTGTAAGCCTTTGTCAACCCTAATTCAGGAAGCTGTCAAAATGTCACTGGTCAAGAAACACTCATGTGGTTATAACAGATGCCATTCCAATGCGGTACTAGATGATGACACTGCAAGTGCTACTGCCAGTACATCTGACACAAGACCCAAAGATGGACTGTCGCATACTGGTGATCTGGTTGGTGAGATTATACCATTTCCGATGAGTACTCGACATAAGAAGAAACCGAGGGTGACTGGTACACTAACTATAATCCAAAAGGATTCCCCAGAAGACACTTTCAGTGACGGCGACGTTTACACTGTGGAGGTGATCAACGAATACGAATGGATTTCTCTTAGAAAGAATTCGGAGGAACCTTCAGAGGTTATCACTGAATCTACTAAGCTTGTGAAACGTGTCGAGAAAGTTTCGAAGGCCATCAACATGCAGTCTAAGGATTTCCTATCAACCTCTAGTGTGATCTTCTGGAATTTCGAATAGCCATCGAACGAAGACCGTTTAAAACATCATAGGCACGACCTGGAGATGGTATTCTACCTGAAACATCTGAAGGGGTAAACATCTCCAAATTAGTCAGGTTATGTAAAAAAAACATGACAAACCAGATGTGAGCAAGATTTTAAAAGTTGTTCTGGACAACAAGGAAGAAATGGATATACCCTGAATAACGCATTCAAACTACAAAATTCGAGCATCCGCATCTAATCTGACTGGGCTGTCGAGAACCGGTCAAAATAAGAAAACGTATCTCTGAAATGAAGGCTTGATAGGTTAATGGAGAAAACAATTTTAAAGTTTCAGCTTTTCAGGTTACTATTTCTTGGGGGCGAATTCTTCTAAGGCCTTTATAAGTGGGTCATGGAACTCTTCAAACTCTGTGAACGTAATCTACACCGACATCTGCAGCACTAGAAATAAAATGAAAGACCTGGAGACTCTAGTTTTTGAACTAAGTCCTGAATTAGTGACCCTTACTAAAAATTGAAAAATAAAAGATTGAGATTTCACGCTGCTTCTAACGGAATGCTACTGTATGAGGACAGATAGCGCCGCGGGTTGCAAAAATGATGGCGTACTACCCTGTTTTTGTGATGATATCCACATGCGATCAGTTGCTTCCGAAGCACATGAATGCGGTACCTGCGAAGTAACTGTTTGTGAACTGAAGTCAAACTAACGTTTCTGTACTATTAAAATAATTCACAGTAGTCTGTCTTGTTTTACAAGTGACTTCATGCTAAATCTTGTGCTTAAGTTGAGTACAAGTAACAGATACTTAACAGCTGGGGATCTGAATGCTTCACACATAAACTAGATGGAACTAACTAGCCACGGGCAGTTCCTTCGAAAATGACTTTAAACAGTAATAAAATTCGCTTTAGTTCAAAACGTAACTTGTACAATACGATACGATTCTGAACTCAAGCCATCGTCATTAGATTTGGTTTTAACCCAGCACTGTTAATTTATTATGGACCTGCGATCATGTAGTGCTAACTTCGGGTTCTCAAATATATGAGTTTGATTACTACACCACTCCCTATAGACCTAGTGTATTGTGCATAGACATTTCAAGCATAAGGAATAGTGCAGTCAGTAAGGATTGGACTATTGACAAGGACTCGCCAAACGGGAATGCACAGGATAGTTTCAGAACTCTACTTGAAGAGGCAACGATGCCATTTATTACATGGTTGACTTGACGAAGATTCTCACATCGCCCTCCGTGGTTAAATAAAGACATTTAGAAACTATTAAGATTGAGGAAACGTCTGTGGAACTTGTTCATGGAAAAGGGACTGAAAACATCTAAAACTGAGTACTGCAAATTCCAAAACCTCCGGAAAACCTTGATTACACAGTCTCAAATGTCCTACAGGAAACATCTTGTAAATGACTGCCATAACTGTCCCAGAAGACTGTTTGCATTCACTAGTTAAAGGACTAAAAAAAAGTGGAATTCCATATCTGATGGCGAAAGAAAAGTCCAAAAGTCTGGTGGAATCAAATTTGTCCAAAGATGAATCCTATCGGATTAGTTTAGTGAAGTCTTCTCCGTAGATCAGGATGGTGAAGTGCACAGTAAAAGTGTTAGCAATGCCCAACCAGTGAATACAGTGTTCACAACAAAGGAAACCGTATTGCAGTTGCTCACTAATTTAAACCGGGAAAATCTTCAGGTCCCGATGAGCTGCATTCACTATTACTGAACCATTCAGTGATCTTCTCAATATGTACTTTTGTCAAACTTATCTTCTTGGGGACTGAAAAGATACCATGATCAGCTCATAAGTTTTGGGCCAGTGTAGCCACCTGGTGTCTAGCCACCGCCCCGTAAGTTTAACTAGCGTAGTTGCTAAGATTTTGGAAAAAGTGATTCTTGACAAGGTACTTAACCATGTTGAATCAAATGATATTTGGCACCACACCGACACGGTTTTTCTACTGAACACTCCTGTTTAAATAAGCTCCTCATCGCGAGAGAGAAATAGATTGAAAACCATGCTTTCAGGCAACCAGTAAATGCCATATTTCAGCAAAGCATTCAGTAATGTGTCTCATGCAAAATTTATAGGAAAGCTCTCCTCTTTCGGTTTCGGTGATGCAATGTGAGCCTGGATTAGGGACTTTCTGTACGATAAAAGGTAACTCTTTGTTACTGCTGTTTCCCGATCACATGAAAGTTTGGAGAGCCATACTTAGTAATGCTGATAGGCACGCTAATCAGGCGGATTTTAATGCACTGGCAAGTTGGTCCAAATACTGGTGTCCGGAAATCAACTCTGGTAAGAGTGAAATAATGCAAACTTGTCGTATGAGTTGCTTTCACTGTTCTGTTGATATCACACCACTACTTCCAGTCTTTGTAGTGAAAGACTCAGGTAATATTATCGGCCATGGTTTGCAAACCTTGAAAAGCTGTAATGTAACTTCAAAAAAGTGCTTTCGTGTACCATGATTCATCCGAACAGCTTCCAAAGTTTTGACGTGGAAATGTTCAGTATACTTTATTCTACTTACTTTAGACCCGACCCGGAGTACTACATTCGGGCAGCCAGTTCATGCCTAAAAAGGATGCTAACTTACTCGGACATGTCCGTAGGGTAGATGCTATGCTTCTGGCAGGCCTTTTGAAAGTGCCGTATGAGAAACGACTAGGTCGGCTAAACTTATTCCCACTGTCTTCCTGTAGGAAACAGAGTGATTTCAAACTGGTATTCCGTATCCCTGATAATAACTACGATAATGATGTGTGCTATCTTTTATCCCGTTGTTGAGATTGATAGGCTCTGAGAGCGTTACAAGAACACCCAAAAACCGTGATCAAATCAACTCGACATGAATTTGCGTTTCTCTCATCGTGTGGTCAAGATCTGGAGCTAATTGACTACTATGTTTAGAATGTCCTACAGTGGAGGCACAACCCCTTAAGATTGGAAGGATGCCATGGTCACACCTATCTACAAGACAGATAAAAGGTAGTACCCATCAAGTTACAGACCGACAAGTTTGAATAGTACTGTAGTAAAAATCCTAGGAAGAGCAATCAAGAAAGCCATCACAATTCCTTTAGATAGCAACGCTATTTTGTCTCGTTCATAGCATGGTTCTCGCAGAAATTTCTCTTTCTTAACAGTCTTCCTCACAGTGAGAGAAGGTTCAACGATGATAGGATATTTGTAGATATCACTTTTACAGACTTTAATATGGCGTTCGACAAGCTACCTCATTTCAGGTTGCTCGGAAAACTGGAACGTTTTGGAATCACAGACAATCTGGTTGCATGGATAGCAGAGTTCCTTGTTGGTCGGAAACAGAGAACAAGGATCACTTCTCTAACCTCCTCTTGGAAGGCAGTAGAGAGTGGGGTCCGGCAAAGTACAGTTCTTGGTCCTTTGCTATTTCTTTTATACGTAAATGAGCTACCAAATATCACGAAATCTCCTATAGTTTTATACGCTTATGATGTAAAATTCTGGTATGAAATTGGGAAGGACGAGGATATACGGGCACTTCAGGTAGACCTAAACAACTTGTTCACTCGGTCAGAGAAGTGGCTGATGCTTATCAACACAAGTAAATGTATGAGCATGTATTTTGGGCACACAGATGGCAACACCCACGATACTGATAGAACTCCTCTACCATAAGTACTGGTCCATAAGGACCTAGGGTTAACAGTGAGTTATGATCTGAAAACCATGGCACAGTGTTGTTCAGTAGCAGCTCAGAGTTTTAGGATACTTTGAGCATTACGTAGAACGTTTACAAAAATTAATAAATTATATGTTAACCATCTTATACACATCCTTAGTTAGGTCTATGTTAGAAAACTGTATGCAAGCGATAAACCCTTGTCTGAAATGTGGCTCAGACCTTATAGAAAGAGTTCAGAGGGTAGCCACTCATGTGATCCCTGCGATGGCTTTCCTCACTGACGAATATCCACTTAAGAAGCTGAACCTCTTCGCTTGATCCTACCGCAGACAGAGAGGAGATCTAGTCATGCTATACCAGATCCGAAGAAATGACTTCGGATCTGATCTATCTTCTCTTTACCCTCTCACTATGCCAGGAAACCTCAGAGGACATAATGGAATGTTGAAAAAGCAAAGAACGAATGTAGTCTCCGCAGAGTACTGGTTTTCTATTAGAGTGATCAACTCACAGAAGAAGAGGTGTCCGCATCATCAATTGACTTGTTCAAAAGGGGATTGGACAAACACAGAGATCTACTGTAGAAAGATTAATGTAGACTCACAATCTTCTATCCTCAAAAAACAAATTCGAATCCGAATCTGGATCTAGAACTCCTTGAGGAACTCCAGTTCTTGCTGTCATAATTAAGTCAGCAAGCAGTGGCAGCACTTTTGGTCAAATCGTTCAATGAGAAACTGCATCTTCGTAAACATCTCCTGCAAGGATTAAAACAGGCCAACTGGCCTCATGTCCTTATTATTGAAAGCTGAAACTATATATATATATATATATATATATATATATATATATATATATATATATATATATATAAAGTACATTTCATTTAGCATAATGAAATTCTCCAAACTTCGATGACACTCACACAAAGAATAGAAATCAGAATTGAAGATCTAAAATTAATCATAATGGTTTTTAATTAATTCTAAAGGAGCTACATAATTTAATGGTAGCAATACTCACTACACCCAACAGTATACTGTTGGTATAAGTAAAATAGATACATATGCCTAAATGCACCATTAGGTACATATCAACGTTTTATAGGGTCGGAGATAGATCATATAATTTAATATCCTCCAATTACTTCATTTTGTGAATCCATCCAAAATTGCGCAGACACACAGGACTTAACCTAACCAGCCGCTTTTCAAGTACATGTAGCACTGTACCATCCAATATCCAATATCCAATATTGATAGTGCGAGCGTAGAAAACTAGTAGTTTTTGATCTCTCGCGTCTAGTTCTTAGGGCTTGGTTCCAGTTGTTCGGTTTACTCCTGCAGTGGACGAGGAAATACCCTCTGCTTTCTTGCTTTTAGCCTCGGTGAGGTGGATGTTTTGTGGGTTAGTAGGTTGTAATCTGTAGAGTGATTAGGGAGCTACGGGTTGCTGGGAAGTTTAGAGAACTGCCATGACTCCTGTCTGTGTAGGTACCTTCAGACACTTGTCACTTGATCCTCTGCTCTTGACCAACGAGTTTAACCGTAAGCTCCAGATGCGTATGTATAACCAGGAAAGATATTTCCTGGGGAATGACCTCCGAGGAGAACCGAGAGCTAAGGCAGTTTGGCAGTTGAAACGCCCAAGAACCACTGACAGGAGGTAGACCGGTTGGTTCAAAGGAATTACAATGCCAATTTTCAACTGTTGAGGAGTGAGCTGACGAATACGCAGGGGTGAGGTGCGTGGATGGACAGAAGTGCTGCAAACATTCGATCTTTTTAGATTGTGGAAAAATCCAAAAGCTGAGAGACGAGCGAAAATCCAATATCCAATATTGATAGTGCGAGCGTAGAAAACTAGTAGTTTTTGATCTCTCGCGTCTAGTTCTTAGGGCTTGGTTCCAGTTGTTCGGTTTACTCCTGCAGTGGACGAGGAAATACCCTCTGCTTTCTTGCTTTTAGCCTCGGTGAGGTGGATGTTTTGTGGGTTAGTAGGTTGTAATCTGTAGAGTGATTAGGGAGCTACGGGTTGCTGGGAAGTTTAGAGAACTGCCATGACTCCTGTCTGTGTAGGTACCTTCAGACACTTGTCACTTGATCCTCTGCTCTTGACCAACGAGTTTAACCGTAAGCTCCAGATGCGTATGTATAACCAGGAAAGATATTTCCTGGGGAATGACCTCCGAGGAGAACCGAGAGCTAAGGCAGTTTGGCAGTTGAAACGCCCAAGAACCACTGACAGGAGGTAGACCGGTTGGTTCAAAGGAATTACAATGCCAATTTTCAACTGTTGAGGAGTGAGCTGACGAATACGCAGGGGTGAGGTGCGTGGATGGACAGAAGTGCTGGAAACGTTCGATGTTTTTAGATTGAGTATTGTAAGTGGGAGTTTTTCATTGTGGAAAAATCCAAAAGCTGAAAGACGAGCGAAACACGTCACTACTCAAGGAGCGCGCCAATCATAACCATACAGTGTCAGATATCCAATATCCTTTAATGAGCTAAGGTAAACCAACTAATTTCTTCGAGCTCGCTTTTAGATCTTGTCTGACAGTTTCAGGTCTTTGAATGATTCCAATTTCCAATACTGATAGTGCGAGCGTAAAAAAATGATAGTTTTTGATCTCTTGCGTCTTGTTCTTAGGACTTGGTTCGAGTTGTTCGGTTCACTCCTTCAGTAGACGAGGAAATCCCCTCTGCTTTCTTGCTTTTAGCCCCGGTAAGGTGGATGTTTTGTGGGTTAGTAAGTTGTAATTTGTAGAGTGATTGGGGAGCTACGGGTTGCTGGGTAGGTTAGAGGACTATCGTGACTCCTGTCTGGGGTAAAGAGTGAAAAAAGATGAGGGAAAAGAAACAAGAAAATAAACGGAGGAGAAAAAGCAAAAAGAGTGGATAATGAAGAGAAGTAAGAGAGGGGGAAAAGTATGTGGGAGTTGCCTGAGAGGTAAAAACAGATAGCGTGTTTGTATTTCCTGGAAAAGAATTGGTAGGTAATGTGGGTGCATTGAGGAGCCAGATAATGAGCGGTAGGTAGGAGGGACGTGGGGATGGCTGGTGAGGTTGGTGACTTCCGGAGTACGTCCATGGTAGACCGTACGAGGTGACATAACTGTCTAACCGACTCTTGAATGAGTAGAATGAGGGGGCTGTAACTATATATCTCGGTAAGGCATTCCATAAAGCACATACTCTCAGGGAGAAAAAATTGGACCTGAGTATGGTGTTGGCTCTCTGGTGTGCTATCCTAATGGGGTTTCCTCATGAAGACCACCAAGTTGCGGGCAAAGTTGATTTGTTTGCGTGGTCTACCTGACGGACGATCTTGTATGCCCAAATAATGTCACCCTTCTTCCTACTATAACCCAAGGTAAGTAGGTTTGGGTGTTTAAGTGTTTCAGGATACGTCCTTCCCCTCAGCTCCACGACTGATTTTGCTGCAGTTCTTTGTATTTTCTCAAGGAGACTAGAGTCTTCCTTGAGTGTTGGGGGGCCACCCTATTGAGGACCTCTAGATGCGGCCGCAAGCAGGATTTGAAAATGTTAAGGAAGAGTTCGGGGATGAGGGCACCAAGCTTTCTACGCAGAAAGTGTAGAATGGCGTTCGCTCTGGTTGCCATACCTTTGTAGTTGGAGCTGGTGTTCAAGGTGTCGGAGTATTTGAGCCTCAAATCATTCTCTGTGAGCACCCTGGTGATAGCACGGTTGCTTGACATGTATTGGGAGTTGGTCGTACTTGCTTCATATTTACTGATATGCACCACTCCAGACTTTCCTAGGTTCAAGCTCAAGCCATTTTCCAACGACCACAGTTTAACTTGCTGCAGGTCCTTTATTAGTCGGTTTCTTCGTTTACCAGACTCAAATTTTTAATGTCGTCAGCGAAGAGGAGGATGGGTGAGGATATTTTGTCCGGCAGATCGTTGACAAACAGGAGGAACAGAAGTGGTTCTAGGATTGCTGCTTGGGATACTCCTGATGTCGATGGTCTCCACTCCGACCTCATTCTGTTTACTTCGGTGTGGAACTGCCCCCCTTCCAGGTACTCCTTGAAACAAGGAAGTGGGGGTTCACTTATGCCAGCTGATATGATTTTGTGAAGCAGGACGTGAGTGGGACACCGCCAAATGCTTCGGCTAGGTGGAGAAATACAACATACACCGGCTTGCTGTTATCCCAGCTTAGTATCGAGTCGTCCCAGGTGGTTGGCAGCACATGAGCGACCACTCCGTGAACCATGCTGGGCAGTATTCTCCGTGTTTCCCCTTTTGAGGAATTACCAGATAGTATCAACTACCAGGCTTTCCAAGACTCTTGACTGTATAGGGAGTGGAGCAATCAGCCTGCATCTGCCAGGGCTTTCTCTGTCTCTTCCCTTGAAGATGGGTGACAAGATGGCGCTCTTCTATTCTTTAGGGAGTTTGCACGGCTCTACTGAGGGCTTGAAGGGGTTGCAGATTGGTTTTGCAAGCACCTGGGTGCAGTTTTTGGGATCGCCGGTTCTAGGTTATCGCAGCTGAGGGACTTGCTTGGACGTAGCCTAGATGGCTTCTCCAACACTTTCTTTTTGATCGAGATGTGGCAGAGGTATTCGTTATTTATCACCTGGTCGGTGTCGCAACGAGTCGGTGTGACTTGCTGTCGGTACTAAGTAGGACTTGGAGTGTGAGCTCAAAAGCTCGGCTGTCTCTGGACTGCTTAGTACACTCCCATCATGGCCTTTGATAAGATTCACTCCCTTGCTGGTTGACTTTCTTCTCCATATGCAGCGGTACAGGTTTTCAGGGCTACTGTGTAACCTCCCCGCAGGTTTGTTTGATAGGTGGATCTGTCGCTACGCACACTGATGTTACAGAGGTTGCGAATCCTTTTGTAGTTCAAAAAGTCAGACTCCCTGCGTGATGAACTCTACTTGAACCAAGCTTGCTTCCTGCTCTGGATAAGCCTTCCTGTCCCACGCTTTAGCCATGAAGTTCTCACTGACAGTCTATGTGCTACCTCTGATACACTGCGACTGATGGCCGCAGCGATTTTTTTTCACCTGTAACCAGTATTCATCTGTTGTGAGATGGGTCCAGTCTGCCGACCATGATGCATTCGTGAGATAGTCCCCTACGGTCTCGTAACTGGCCTTGCTGTAGCAAAGGAAGGTGTTAGGCGTCTCCGGTTGCAGGGCCTCCCTAGTGATCACGGAGAAGTTCATTACAGCGCGGTCACTAAGGCCAAGAGGGGGTTGGGTGCATACATCCTCAGTGAGAAGGTCATCGTTCGTCAGAACTTAGTCAAGGCGCAATGCTTTTCCGTGAGGTCCGCAGCTTGTAGAATCACCCACTTTCTCTGAGAGGCCAGTAGTCTTAATCGCGTTCTTCAGCTTCTGAATGATGGATCTGTGTGTCTACCTTCCGTCTCGGAGAGGATGGAGAGGGTGTTGAAGTTTCTGGCAACGATTACGGAATCGTAATTCCCAGGGAAAGTCGTTAAGATTGCCGCGATGACCATTTATTTATGTGTAGGGGAGCTGGTGGGGGACCGATACATGACTCCGAGCAGGTATTTGATACAGTGGAGAGTGAAGTAGCACCAGAGAGATTCCGGGAGCTGGATTAGAGTGGTATCGCTAACCCCCTTGCCTTTAAGCGAGTGCCTATTTAGAAAGCCACTTCCCCTCCTGCTCTCGGCCCTCTCTCCCTGTGGAAGAGTTCCATGCCAGTGAAAAGCATCACTTCGTCGGAGGTGTCCGGCGACAGCCAGGATTCGATGATAAGTACGATGTCAGAGTACTGACGCTCACGCAGTGTCCCCACCTCTGCTAC